AAGTATAATATTATTTTTTTCAGTGTACAAAAGCATGAAAATTAGGTATAAATTAAAACACCAGCCATTATCCTTGAAAAGTTTTAATGGAAAAATTCTTTTCAACTTTATTTTATTTCATCAATTCATGTTTATCTCATGTACATGTAGTTTCAATAGAATAAGATACCATCAGATAATATTCTTAATTTACCCATTAATTAATTTTCATCACTGAAATAATAAATCAGGCACTCAAAGACTGCACATTACCTTGCCTTCCCCCATATTCAGCCCCCACCCTGTTGCCATATTCATGTTCCAGTTGGGAAGCCCTGTCCATCCCCATCCCTGCTGATTGTAATCTGTAATAAAATTAACAAAAATAAAACATCATGCACTGCCATATCTATTTCACCTTACTAATAACTATTAAAAGGTGAAGAATCTTTAAAACTGATAAATTCTGAGAGCTATTTATGTCAGTTTTTGTTGTTGTAAGCATATAATCATTTTTCATCAAGGATTATGTATTTAAGAAATATTCAAATCTTAATTGTGTAGGAATGCTTTTCATCACTTCTATGCTTAAAATTCAATGTATTGTTCTCTCATATAGAAAAGAAGAAAAACAATAAAACATTTCTGAAAAAGCAGTTAAATTTACCTTGACTCTGATAAACTGGCATATTACCGTAGCTGTTCGAGTCTTGCGAATTATTCTCATTGTCTCCTTCAATGTCCATATCATCTCCTCCCGTGCCCCCGTTGGCTGGGGGAGGTGGGGGTGGGGGAGCCGCACTCATCGACATGGAGGGGGTTGGCTCCGCTACATTTTCTCTCTGTTGAATCCACTGCTTTGCAAGTGCAGCCCAATCAACTAAATGCAAAGAAGGAGAATAACATATCCAGCTAAATGATATAAACCCTATTTCCTATTTTATAAATGCCATGCAAACTTTTTTTAAAGACACTCCGACTACTTGATTTGTTTTTTTATTTGGCATTTAACAAAATATGACATAAAACATTATAAAAAGAAATAATTACATATTTACTAATTGTTAACCAAACAAAAACATGAACTGACAACTTCAAGCCACGTAGATCAGAAAATAAAGATTATAATGGTTGCCCACTTGTTGTAAAATACCCCCCCTCCCAAAAACCCTAATGAATGTACTGGCTTTATTACCTTGGTCATTCGGCATCCCTTGAAATGCTGCCTGCTGGATGGGCCCACTGCCCCAAGGATTGGCCCACATTTTGGAAACCCAATTATTCGTATCCCAAAACCTGAAAAAATATTATTAGCAGTGCAAACATTACTTCATTAAGGTAGCTAGATCCTTTTGAAAAATTCTTCACGACGCTACATATGCTTCCTGACGTATATCATATACTGTAGATCACTAAATTTTCGCGACACCTTATTTGCGCGAGATAGTCATTGACTCTTGATTAGCGAGACAAAATTTTCACGAATTCTGGTTATTGCTCTATATAATCTTAAGGAATACTATTATACACGAGAATTTAATTTTTGCGAGCACACTGTCTCGCGTAATTACGCGAAAATAAAGTTCTCGCGAATAAAAAGTGATTTACAGTAAAAAAACGCAACAAAATAAGACGTAAACAACAAACAAAATGCAATGATTGCATTAGAATGGAAATAACTGTCTTCTAATTTGGTATTTGCGACCGTTAATGCTGATTTAACGGTCGCAAACATCCGTTTTACCGGCTCAGCATTAACGGTCGCAAATACCAAATTAGAAGACAGTTATTCCCTAAATGTTCTCAAATTCAAAATGTGCATGTTAATTGTTTTTCTTCAATCCAGAATTCTTGAAATCTTTTTTTCGGTGTCAGTCATTTGGACTGACTGCCATACATTGTGCACCCAGCGTCAATAAACAGTGCACACTTCATGTTGATTTGACCGTCGTATAACAACTTTCTTTGAATTCTTGTGGGGGTCCATTTTCTTCCTAAGTTTTTAAATCTATTTCGATTTTCTCACCTGTCTTACCTTAGCACTGTCAACAAACTAGTTTACCAATCACTATTAGTTTGGCACTTGCATTCATTGAAGAAGTCATTACAAATAAAGATATAGAAAAGCGTTTGAAAGATTATGATCGGTCAGTTATAGGGAATTTGTACGAAATTTGGTCGGATTGTTGAAGTTCCTCTGTCAACACTTGCCGGTCATTTGGACTGACAGAGAACGCAAAGTAATCGGTCCTTGGTTGTTTATATCGGTTTTTGCCGACAGGACAGAAAGATTTCAAGAACTCTGCAAACAAGCATTAGTGCACTACAGCTTGTGCATTTCAATTGTGTCCCCCTCCTTGATTCAACTTCAGTTCACTTATAAGTGATGTTTCATTGGATTTGTCTATCAGTTTAGATAAACTTTTTGCTGGACTTAGTATGGACTTATGTAGACTGAATATTTCATTATTAATACTAATAGCGAGGGCCTCAAGTGCCACATTGGCACAACATTCGTCACTGCGAGCTCTTAAAGCAACACTTGGGCAAAGAGAAAATTCACAGTTTCCACACTGATCCAAAGTTACCCACTGTCCCCCAGTTACCGATGGACCAATTATCAGCGAAATGCAATGTCTCGCTGCAAACTACATTCTCACGATAACAAGATATTCCACCAAAAATAAACTCACCTAGTCCTTGATTTAATGGATATATAGCAGATAAATAAATAGATAATAAAAATTTAAATGATTTTGAATAAATTACTACTATTCAGACTTCGGATTCAGGGTTTGACATTAAGGCACGTCCGACAGACCGAGTCTAGTAAAAGATAGGTCCGGTCGGGTAAAATGTCTGTGTACTAGACCGACTGGTCGTGTAAGAAAAATAAATGAACTTTAATTTTAAACAAATTTATTGTTAATGAAAAATAAAATCAAAACATTTTTAACCACATCGTAGAAAGAATACATATGTAACAGACAGCATGACCGAAGCGCTATTATTGACGGCATTCATTGAAGGCATTCGAAACTACTCGGCCATTTTCCTAAATAGAAACAATAAGCTATTTATCATTCATCATGTTCATGGAAATGGCTGAATAGTTACGATTGTCATTGTCGAAAGATTCAAATTAACGGCATCGGTTAACTGTGTAAATGGCAATAGAATTATAATAATAACATTATTTTTACTATACTTAAATTCTCTGAACAATTGTAATGGTATCGTATTTATATTGTATACAAGTTGATTGAATTAAGTTTATAGGACTAAACACGACAAGTGGCATGTGTATGACCTAGTTTTGATGTTGACGTGTGTGCAGGAAAATTTCGTTTTTAAAATATGGATTACATTGGTAAAGATAAACCACTACAATTAAACAGATTATATAAAAAAGGTTATTCATAAAGTGATTTCGGTCATTTATAGGAAATTTGTATGTAAAGTTCCTCTGTCAAACTTTCCATCACTATTTCGTGCTTTAAATATTTTTTCTCTCAAGTTTGTTCAGGGCTAGTGGTTAAAGGGTCAGGGCTAGTAAAAATTTGCCAGAGTAGCCCGACTGGTCTAGTATTCCAAAAGCTTAATGTCAAACCCTGGGATTGGTAATGCAACATGACATCAGCAGGTCCAGGAAAATCACTATATTTAGCTATATAGGTTTATCAACCTATATAGCTTTATTTACCTATAAAATATAGCTATATTTAGCTATTTTGGAATAAGTTTCTGTTTTATGAAAAGCAGACAAAAAGTCGCATAATGAGTCAGTATTAGTTTTCAACTTTGAAATGGACTGAAAACAATTCACCAAAAACCCACTTATAAAAATGTTTCTCCTTTTTGTGCAATTGCAATCATAGATATAAAAGTTTTGGGGCTATGTGTAACAGTTAATCTGTGAGTAAGCAGCTACTTTAACAAAGAAAAGAAGTTTTGGTCAACAAGATAATTGATTGGTAATAATTGAGCACAATGCAAGGCAATCACACTTAGTCATGCCTCACCGCACTTCCAGCTATCCAAACAATAGAGATGCATTTTTTGGTTAAAAAGTGTTTATAAGAGGCAATGTTTTTACCATCTATGCCCTAGGTTGTTTTTATCAATCCTTTTAAAAAATATATCAGCCATAATTTACACGCGACTTTTTGTCTGCTTTTCATAAAACAGAAACTTATTCCAAAATAGCTAAATATAGCTATATTTTATAGGTAAATAAAGCTATATAGGTAGATATACCTATATAGCTAAATATAGTGATTTTCCTGGACCTGATCAGAGTCTAGTCGTAGCAAATGTCACATGCACTTTGGCGATCCCAATCTAAACTAATACTAAATAGGTACATGTATCTGTGCTCGCCCTAACGGTTGCACTGTCAACATATCATATTATAAAATGGTCCTGCAGACCCAAATTTATCTGCAAAATGAGGAACAGTGTACTTAATTTAGGCATATGCTTTAAACGGTAAGGCATTATCATATGTTTATTGGACGCAAGTAAAATTGTTAAGAAAATGTACGTTTTTCCTAATCCTTATTTAATTTAAATAGCTAAACCAAGTATCTTGAAGTCTCTTTGCTTGAACCCTGCAATCTCATGCCCTTTCTTTGCGAGTCCTCTAGAAAAGCATGTCAACACTATCTTTAAAAGAAATTAACACTCTAAAATTAATATTACCACCAAAATTGTCCTTAGCCAAAGATTTTTCGAATGGAAGTTCGCATGGTTAATGATACAACGTTTGCTTGTGTTCAACTTCTTTAGTCAGCCATTTTTCAGCATGCATTTGTCGCTAGAGGGTATGGAGCAATTGCCAATACGTCGACCCCACGTTTACAAATCCGGATTGTTGAAAAATGTCTTTAAAATAAACTGGGCTAAAATAAATAATATATTTCAAGCAATAGAAAGGTAAGCATGATATTTTGAATCTAAAAATTTGATAAACTTATGTAATAATGTAGTTTAATTTAAAACTTTTTCGGGACAAAAAAGGCTACCGTAAGAAAGAGTAATTTAGGGTGCCATATTTATTTCCGGTAACCTTTCAATGATGTTTTGCAGGAGATGTCTCAGAAAGTTTATATCAATCTCAAGGTTAGGCATTATCCAAACATTTTTGTTATTTTAGAAATTCTAGAATGGGACTGTGAATTTTCTTTAAAATTCTGAAAATTAAAAAAAATTAACATGGGGCATTTTGAAAAAAAAAAAATAGATTACAGCTGAATTATGTAATGACAAATGCCTGTAGTTTTTTTCATTAATTCATGTAGCTTTTAAAATTCTTATAATTGTTTACAGATTTGGCGGTCATAACAAAAGATGGAATCATGCCCGTCCTATTGCCCAAACCACGATAGACGAAGAGGAGCATGAGAAGTTTAAAAAATTGTCACATACCTGGTGGAATGAAGTTGGGGAATTCCAGGCCCTTCATGCTCTCAATGCACTGAGAGTTCCGTGGATAAGAGACTCTTTACTAGAAAAACAAGACCAGCCACCTCCATTGCACACAAAACCTTTAATGGGTCAACAAATTTTAGATGCAGGGTGTGGTGGGGGCATTTTATCAGAGGTAGTTAAAAAACATTTTATTGTATCTTTTTTTCAGTGTTGTAAAAAAAATGATATATACATTTTTAACTCACCTCAAAGAAGTTGAGGCCACTTATGTGATACACATGGCATAGGCACCACAGGTTTAAAGTTTTAATTTGGAGCAGTTTTCTTTTCTTAATTTTTATGCCCTACATTAATCATAGATGCATTGAAGAAGCTTCTAGTGTGTTTCATTGTACCAGTCAAGGTTTCAGATGCTGCGATTTCAGTATTGACCAGGTTAACGTTTTTAGAGCAGTTAAAGGTTTTTTGAGCAGTTCAAGATTTTTAGATCTAGCCTCATGTAAGGATGCACACTACCAGGCTTGCTACATATGCTTGATCTAACCTGCATTTTTCAAATGAGTGACCAGGTTAAAGTTTTTGAAGTAGGTTTATTCTAAAGTAGCTATAGTATAAGCCAGGGTTCGACACTAACTTTTTTACCTTGGTGGACCACAGGTCCACTTGTGAAAAATTATTGGTGGACCTTCTCAATATCTGGTGGACCTTTATAAATGTTTGAATTAATGATTGAATTATCACACAAGGCATTAATTAAAACTAACTTTAATATATACTGTTTCCAGTCAGACTAATAAAGCATAAATCTAACCAACCAACAGAATCAAATCAATTAGGGACTAGTCAGATTTTTTTTTTTTCAAAAATATTACAAATACTGCAAAACTTATTAAAAAAAAACAAAAACGTATTAATCTACAAACCATAAGAATATTTTAATAATTATCATTAAGTTACAATGGTGAAACCTGCATTTATTTCGCTTCCATAGGTAGATTAAATTCAAAATTCCAATTATTAATTAATATGTTCAAATATTAAATAAGTGAGCTTTTCATGTATCTATGGCTAGATCATTTTTTTTACTACGATGCAAAACTGACATAGGTACATGTATGTGCATTTAAAATTAATTATTTTCTAAATTTATTATTTATTCAAATAAGTAGTGACATTATGTATATCAAGAAAACAAATGAAACTGTGGATAATAGTTCATAAAATGTAAATTATGCCTGTTTGAACATCTATAAGGAAAAAAAAATGCATAAATGCAGCTGTCAATCAATTCTAATTATCTCCAACTGTGTGCGTTCAGGCGTGAAACGATTTCCTGTTACCCAGTGTAATTTTCACACCTTTCTGTGCATTACGTAAACAGAGGAGAGACTGGCTAATTTGGCACGGATTTTTCATGCTTCTTATTCAAGGTCCGTGTTGAATGTTCTTTCGTCTCAATATTATTGTTAATATTGGAGTTTTCAATTTTACATGTAAAATATATCGAGTTGTTAGGTCCCCCTGATTACCTAAAACATTATATTTATTCCTTGTAAAATACAGTTTGGAGGAATTAATAATTTGAGTTAAAGATGAATTTCGATTTAAAGAAAAAAAACCTGGAATTTCACTGTTTTTTTTAATACGGTGTTCAAATTTTAAGTGGACCGACGGTCCACCTAGTCCAGAACATTTGGTGGACCTTCCAATTTTTTGGTGGACTCGGGCCGCCGGTCCACCGTTAGTGTCGAACCCTGTAAGCCCTATGTTGACCAAACTTGCAAGGATGATTCATGTAGATCTGTAAGGATGTGCACACTGCTGGTCTTGCTGTGGATGCTGGATCTAGCCTCCAGTTTCCAGATGAGGGACCAGGTTAATTTTTTTTTAGTGGGTTCATTTTTAAGTAAATAATTGCCATACCTAAACCAAACTTGCATGGTATGTTATCTAAGGATCAACACTCCTTGACTTGCTTAGGATGCTAGATTTCACCTACATTTTCCAATTGAGTGACCAGGTTCAATTTCTTTAGCACAGGTCCATATCCAAAAAACTATAAGGTCCATGTGAACCAAACTTGCTGAATTTGAATTACATTTTCTTGATGAGTTACTAGTTTGAAGTTCTTGAATAAGTCCATTCCCAAGACAGTACAGGTATATGAAATGATATGAAATACATTTTATTACTTTTTTTTTCAAATGTGTGAACAAATATGATTCATACATATTTAAAATTCCAGGCACTGGCAAGACTTGGGGCAAATGTAATTGGAGTTGATATGGTGGAGGACAATATTAAAGTGGCTCAAGCCCATTTAGAGGAGGATCCAGCCATAAGTGGGACAGTAAAGTACATCCAGGCAACTGTGGAGGATTTAGTAGGAACAAATGAGGAGACATTTGATGCAGTTGTGGCCTCAGAGGTGGTAGAGCATGTATCAAATATTGATACTTTTTTAACATCATGCTGTAAAATTATAAAGGTAGGCTCTATTTTGATTTTTCTGAAATATTTTCGAATTATACATTTAATTAAATATGGCACATAAATAGTGGCATTTGCTTTTGTTTGCTTGTTTTTTTTTATCTATCTTGATATACATTTCCAACTATACCTTTGACTTGATAGTGTTTTATTATACCCCACCCTGGATGGCTGTAATTGCTTTAGAGAACAAACCGTAACTAATCTAGGCACTTGCAGTTACTTTATCTTCAAATGCAAATATTATACAATATATTTCATGAGATTAAATCAGATGATATTCTACCGGTATTAGGCCAAAAAAAATTAATCAATAGTTTCTCAGGCACCGCCGCATCAGTTCAAAAACGGCCGCATTGAACAATTTTATTAACAGATTGAAAAGGGAAATAACTCAATTTCCTATTTTTCCATATTGGAGAAGAAAATTGAGTTATTCCCCTTTTCATAAATGCTAAGATAGACGTTTTAAGAAGAAAAACAATATATATCTTCTAAATTTAAATATATAATGAATAAACTTTTAAATAAATGTTTGGAATAACATTATTTAAAGTGAAATACATATTATAACTAATTTCAGAGAACAAAAATTAAGAATTAGTAGATATAATCATTTATTGAACAAATGGCTTAAAAAAGGTGTAAAACCTGCTTCAAAAAAAAAAAAAAAAAAAAAAAAAAAAAAACCTGCCTGCCGCATTGAATTTTGAATTTTTTGGCCTGAGAAACTATTTATTAATTTTTTTCTTAAAGAAAAATCATTTTAATTCTTTATTTCTACCACAGTATCATGTTTCCTTCCTGCGCATTTCATATAAAATTGAAATATCTGGTCTTTCGTTTTGTAGCCTGGAGGATCCATTTTCTTGACAACCATTAATAAAACAACCATCTCCTACATGGCGGGAGTTTTAGCAGCTGAATATTTACTACGTTTAGTTCCTATAGGCACCCACGACTGGGAAAAGTTCATCTCACCTGAAGACCTACAGTTCTTCCTGGACAAGAGTAAGAATCAAGCCTATATCAAAACATGGTGAAGATTTTATTGAGTTTCTACATCAAGCTTATATCAAAACATAGTGAAGTTTACATTTTGAGGTTCTGCATATGTATGCTTGAAAGACTGAAAATAGAGCAATTTCTTTTGTTTGTGCAACTTTTCCCAGCTTTGACCATGTATGTACTAAGAAGCATGTGAGATAAAGAATTTTTATTTGGTCAACCTGAATCCCAACGGTTACTGTCAAAAAGTCGGATCATATAATTTCAAAGTAATGATTATAAATCAAAAAATGAAATTTCCACTATTATTTAAGATTGGATCTGTCTCACAGTTTGGGAAGAGAGGGATATTTTTCTTTTCTTTTTTTCAAAAATGGAAATCTTACAAACTTCAACACATTACAGGTGGATTTTCTACGACCTTGATCCATGGAATGATGTACAATCCACTGACCCGCAGGTGGGACTGGATCAGTAACACGAGTATAAATTACGGACTTCATGCCATCAAGCTACTTACACACGACACACCAGTGTCCCACACCAGTCCCGGAAATTCAGGAGAAACAACAGGAAAGAGTGTTTAAGATGCATGGACATGGAATTTATATACTTTTGTCAAAATGCTTTATTTAGAGGAATTATTATCTTAAAGGTGCAACTTCTGACTCCTACTGTTGAACATATATTTTCAAGGAAGAAAAATGTTTACTTTATAGGATATGATGTAATGTTTATGTTGGAATGTTATACATCTGTGTCCAACTTTTAAAGCATTATTATTGTTGGGGTTTATTTAACTTTCAAGTAATTCTGAGATATACATAACAGTTACACATCATGTACGTGTGTTGTTCACGGTAAGATTTTTTTACTCCCTGCAACTTATCCATTTGCATAATCCAAATTTGCAGGTTCCTATTTATGTGCTTGACTTTCCTCAATAAAGCTATTAAGTAAACTATTCTCTTTAATAAAGGCAATCCAAATTTGCACCATCTTCTATATAAATACATGTACCAATTCATTTATTTGTTCCATTCAAGTTGTGAATAAAGGGCAGTAACTCTTTATGCATAACAATATTTTGAAATCATATTGAAAATGCAACACTTTTGAATTTTGTTATGTTTTATTTGCATAATATTACCTCTGTACTTTGCTACCAAATAAATGTAAAACTCCTAAACCTGCATCAAAAGTTCATGAAAAACCTTAGTCAACAGCTATGATAAATGTGTTCTCTTATAATCACTAATGTACGTTAAAATTCTCACCCCTTTTCACTACTCATTACTGATTACTTGTTATATTGAGATATTAAACTGAAACACATACAAATTTTATAAAAATCATTGTTTAAAAAACAATAATTGAAGGTCTTGAAATATCAGCAAATTTTTCTTAAGTTTTATTGATTTAAATGTTCAGAAGAATGCATTCAATGTAAAATTATGATTCTGTGATGCTCCTAACACTGGCTGAAAACAATTAATAAAAGATCCTGACACCAACACAAACCTATCCAAACCAGGATTTAAATATTGTTATGAACTACTACTGGTAACATAAATAACAATAACAAAAAAAAATAAGAAGTTAACAAATTTCACACTAAAAAAATAGTGCTACTATAAATTAAGTCTAATAATGAAAACAATAAAACAACTACACCATTTGCACACAATTTGGCAAATAACATGACAAAAATGAGACCCTTTGATTCTGAGTATATGTTGAGAAAAACAAAACACTAAAACTGAATAACATAGCATGTAAACACTGTTGTAGATATCACAGTTGAAAAGTACACTAGTACTGTTTAAAAGTTAGTGAACTTTAGTGGATACAGCTTATATACCTTGTATCAATGTAGGTGAGGAACTCTAAAATGGATATAACTTTAATAATTTCTTCAAGTAGATATACATACATGTATTATAGCATAAAAACTAAAGTGGATATAGAATACCGGGGTAAACACTTACTTAAACACTAAAGTGGATAATACTTTAACCCTAAAGTTTAAAATTTAAACTTTAGGGTACATGTATATGTATTTAAAACACAAAAGTGGCTATCACAGCTTACTTTGTATAAGAAAAAATGTCATGGCACACAAAAATAAATTAGGAGGTTTAACGGGAAAATGTTAATTCCGGTGTCTCTCAATGGGTGGGAGTTTTTCGCTCTTTGGTAACTCATGGCTATAACAAAAGGGTGGTTGTTAATTAATTCATTTATTTTTTAATTGCAAAAAATATCATTATATATTTAATATATGGCTGAGGTGTTACTGCATGGCATGCATATTAAAAATTAGGTTAAAATGCTGACAAACTTTGGCACATTAGTGAAATATTCAAAATAATTATGATATGTTGTATACATTTGTATTAGGGATGATGTAATTTCTGACGTATAATTTAAGGCACTAGGAAATCTTGACTTGGAAATTATCTATTTATGCCAAAATACACTATACCACAAGAATTTTAATATTAATATTGATTAAGTAAATTCTAAATGTGCTCATTTATTACAGTTAACTTATCTTACCCTTAATTCCAAATAATTAAAAATTATTCACGATTACATGTATACAACAAAATATAGATATACTGTAGAAGTACAAATTTTCGTGGGGATAAAATTTCGTTGATTTGTCATCAAAAATAGTTTTGTGGGCATTTAATTTCATTGTTTTGAGAGTAAGCCTATTCCATAGTCATGTAATATTTCATGTGGGATTTAATTTCGATGATAATCGTTAAAAACGAAATAAACAAAATTTAATACCCCACGAGTATTTGTTCCTTTACAGTATATAATTATATATATGTATAAAAATAAAAGTTCTAAAAGACTAGCTTTTACATCATGAAACATTATCTGGTAATACAATTATGACTGCATTAGCACAAACATTCACGTATATTTAAGTGGTGTTTTCAATTAATTGTTCCAAAAAGATTCTGTTTTCTACTTCACAAAATGAGCCATTATAAAATTGTAGTAAAGATCTATAATATGATTCAATACCTGAATTATTATATGTAGAAAAAATATCTTTCAGCATTCCCTCAAGATCTTAATTGTTATGAAGCAAGGAGTTGGTCTTACTATTCTTCATAAAAAAAATTTAATAAACTTGAGGATTTTCCACAATATATTGAAAAAGAAAACTTAGCTGGTATATATGAAAGTAGTTATTAAGCTAGACTTTTTTTTTCATTTTGATTAATTGCTCCTTTAAGTTATGTGATGTTTTGTTTTCAATAATCAGTATAAGCTACCATATTGTACTCAACCAAACAATTCATTCTGGCAGTATTTTCCCATGTTTTAGAACTTTTGGATAACCTTTAGACAAAGCAACACTAAAAAAACTTTTCTCCTACAGGCTGTAGCAAAAATTTCACTACCACACTCAACAGTCTGGCTCCTACAGGCTGTAACAAAAATTTCACAACCACCTACTTGCATAACAATCGCAGTGGCCAACAGCTAATTTTCTGAAAAAGAAATGAAAGGCCCTTTATTTAGATTTTGTGTTAATAAGTGCCCCAAATTGTGTGCAAATGATTTGATCAATAATTCGTGACATTTTTATTTTAAACTATAGTTTATATCAACATTTATAACTAGCTTTCAATTAAATAATATATGTTCTAATTTTTCAATTATATATAACCCTGAAAAGGGATTATGAGCAATGGTTATTCAAGCATAAAATGTTAACTTTAAAAAAATGTAAGTGACAAACTCTTTGTTAATAACAAACATATCTACTGCATCCCGTAAGTATCTAAACATTGATCAACACATTTAGTTCAAACATGCAACAACATTAAATTCTTGTTTCCCATAGCAATACCATGCAAAACAATGCCATTAGAAATGTTATTATTTATCATGAATTTTCAAAAAATTTCATTACTATTATTTTATCCAAAAATAAATTATGCAAAATATTTTTTTTTTAAATAAATTATGCAAAATAATTTTTTTTTTTAATAAATTTTAAGAAAATTTTCAAATAAATAATCACATTTCTGTAGTTGTCTAATGACATTGATAGTTCAGCATTACATTTTTAATATAAGCCGTAAAACTTTCTATGAATTACGGTGGTTGTACAAAAAATGTACTAGTATTATGATGGTAACTTTTATTGTAGTACCTTTGACAAATTTTAAAGAATTCTACATGTAAAAAAGGAACTGTAACCAACATGTTATAAAATATTTAAAATTAAATAAAAATTCCATTAAAAACAAAACAAGAACTTTCAAAGAAAAATGCAATATACTATAAAATATGAATACAGGTACTCATACTATTTTATGTGTGAAAATTGTACTTACTTACATGATACACATCATTAAACTCTCCAGTCAACATAAAAAAGTAATTCTCTATCCAAAAATTATAACTAATCACAAATACTGTATTAAAATATACATGTATTTACTAATTTAAAAATAAAACACACAAAATAATGACAATTTTATAATTGTTCACAATATTCAAATTTAACAGGAATAGTTGAAATGAAATATATTATCAGATAATTCAGCATACAAAAACATTAAAAGAATGTAAAGAAAATGAAAGCTACATATGATTTGACCTACCTTATATTGATTCTTAAGTTTCCTTCAGTTATTTATTCAACAATTCTTTGCTAATACTTTAGATTTAATGATGAAATCTTAATTAATGAACTAAAAAGTTGCTGGAAGTATACATGTCTAATGTTGGATTTTAAGTAAAACAGATTTTTTTTACCTTGCAAAATGAATGTCTTGATGATCATAAAACATTATGTATAATACATTCTTAGCCAAAAAAAAAAAAATCTTAGTAGAAAAATTATAAAAACCTTTAAGGAAAAAATCAAAATAAAAGAAAAAAAACTGCTTAAAACCTTTTAATGGGACTTTCATAATCTAGTAATTTTGGACTAAAGTAGGTGAAAGATGAAAAGAAAAATTAGTTAGGCATCTTCCTAAATCATCTTCAGATTATGTTCAGTTTCAAGCCTTAAATTAGCATTACATGTACTGGGTATTTTGATATATGGAACTTTAAGACTTAATAAAAGTTTGGGGGAAAGTACAGATAAAAAGGGTATTTAGATCTCAAATAAAAACTACAATTATACACAGGTACAGGTATTTGTAGAAAAGTCATGATCTAGATTATTTGGTACAGTAATTTAGTTCAGTGTATAGACACAAAGCACCATGGAAAAAAAAGTTGTAGATAACTTCACAAGAAACCACATGAGAAGAAAAGAAAATGCTTTTAAAAGTACAAAGGTCTTACTATTGCTGCCAAAATTTAGTAAAAAAAAAATTCCCCTTCTCCAACTATACAACATCAATTCTACTTTCCAAAATTACCCCCTAAAAGGTTATGTGGTAAAATAAAATGTATACAATGTACATGTATAAACTTACCCAAAATGACTTTGATGAACTAATATCACATGTTTCAAAATTACTCTGCAATATTCCAATACAGATTTTTTTAAAATTGAGATTCAAAATAAAAAACCATGTAAATGTTGAAACAAAATTCTTCTTCATTTATAAAACAAATAAAAAAAAATGAAAGGGGTTTTAATTTTCAACTTAAATATGGAGGGGGAAAAACAGAATCCTTTTTTTTTTAATGAAAGAAAAGGGAAAACGTGTGAACTACCATGAATTGTTTAACTTTTGTTAACAATCTGAAACAAAATTAATGTTGATGGGGACATTTACTGACCATCTGCCATTATTGAAAATATATACATATATATATTTAAAAATGAAAGAAATGCATTTTCAATGACTAGACTACAGTTCCTGCTAAAAACATGTTCAATGATGAAATTATGAAAACAGGGCAAAATATTAAATTGAAATGAAAAATAAAATTTCAGTGTATAAAAGTAGCTGCAAATTATTAAATGTCAAGATTTTTTGATTTCAGACAATGATAAAACTGAACAATTAAATGAAACCCAAACACTTCAGAGTGATTAAATGTGGACATTTTCTCACTGTCACAGCCATGCAATGTTAAGTTCAACAATGCTCACAAAAATTATAAAAATTCAAGATCTTGTGACTCTGAAATGTGGAGTGGTCTCCCTTTAGAGTGTATCAATTCATTTTTTTTTCTCCAGAATTGTATGCTGCCATAATTATTTTGGCTCTATATTTTTAGGACTAGAATGTAATCTATTGGAAGCTGATCTTGCCCGCCTTGTTAATAATTTGGAGGATGTAGAAGAGGAGTCTGAGAATAGACTCTGATTCTGAACACATGATGTAAATGCATTTTCTGTCACAGATTTGGAAGATCGAATGTTATCTAAACTGTCTAATAGATTATATTTTTCAGGATATATGAAATTTTCTCTACCCGATTCACAAACAGTTCTGACCACATTAGAGCACAATTCTGGAGAATCTGAATTTCTATAAACAGAGCCAGGGTAAATAGACTTCAACTTTTTCACACCAAAGTCAGTTAGAAAAGAAAAGCCAGACAATCGACTTTCAGACCACGAGGCCTGCAGCGTTACCTCAGACCTGCTGCTCCACTGCTCAGGTCCCTGGTCCTGGTGGATGACGGTGGTGCAGACGTTGCTGTTTGTGTTGGTTGTTACGGACTTCAGGCTCCAAATGGATCCAGTCAGGGAACCAGCTGACGAACAAGATGGCCGACAAATTTGAGGCAAATCATTAAAAATGGCATTATTATTACAAGATTCTTCTAGTTTAGCTTCAAAGGGATCTAGACCTGCATCGTGCTGAGGGAGGTCAAGATCAGATGAAATACCACTATCAGCACTGGACTCGGTCAAAAATCTCTTCTTCTGGCCTTCAGATGCCTCCTGAACTTCAGCCTTAGAACGCAGACTAGTGCAACTACCCTCCTCACATTCACTCTCTGTGGCTTCAGATGAAAAACTTTCTGAACTTTGACCCTTAACCCGAAATTTATTACCTTTCCCCTTTCTATACTTTTTTCTCACCTTACGAGAGTTTTCAGGGCCAATTCTTCGCCCCCGTTTTAGACGTTGTATATAAGCTAATGGGGGATGAACACGTGGTCGAACAGTATTCAAGCCATTCAAATTTGCAATAGCCTTGAGATTCTTTTTGTATTTTGTCTCATTTTTCATAAACGCTGGCATACGTAGACAGTCTTGCCTTGCTAATCGTTTACAACGGCTCACTTCATCCACACACATTTTCCCACACATCAGAACTTGAAAATCTATGGTGTCTATGTTGCGTAATATTTCCACTGCACCTAAAATAAAAAAAAATTATACCAGTTTACATGAATTTAAATAATTTAACTAACCAGCTATTAAAATTTTGGAAAATAAATGAAATATTTTTAATTCCAAAAAATATTAAATTGATTAAAAAATTCAAATTTTTCAGATACCTTCAAAATAGCACTGGTCTTTTCCATATCCTCCTAAATCATTTGGATCTATCAGTCCTCGCTTGATTCTCATGCAGAGGCGCCATCTGTGATCGGGACTCTTGACAAACATAGCTAAGTGATCAAACAGTTGTTTGAAGGTCATCTCGGCTGCTTTGCAGGCCGCATCTGAATGGATAAACAATTATTTGCTCTTTGCAAAATAGGATCAGTGTAATAAATAAATCAAGAAGAAATATACAGTTATTCAAACATTTACAATTGTTTACAACCACATCCCCCTATACCCTTTATGTATATGTTTCTCTTCTTATATTCTTGAGACCTTTTCTTTGTTAGGCCTTAATCATTCATTTCTTATTGTAGTCATTTATGCCTAACTCTTATAAAAATATGCTTGATACGTATAACTTTTTTTTTTTTTTTTTTTTAGGTTTTTCTTTACATTATTGAAGCAAAAATTATGATAGAATTTAAAAAGAAATGGAAAGTTGTTGGATGATAAATTCTTGAAGTTTAAAAATGTGCTAAAACAAATCAAATAATAATTTTATTTTTCATTACATATGGCATTAATTATACACATTACATTTAGATCAGAAAATGCTTACAGTACTGCAGTGCTGAGCTCCAGAGGTACCGTACTCTGGCATTCAGTACAGTGTTTATACAGGCCAGTCCCTCCTCTGTACGCAGCTGTTCTAAACTCCCCAGACCCCGAACTCCGAACCTCTTCCTGTCCATAAACCAGGGCTGCAAGCCATCATTAAATGATCGAAACTGATGGTTAAGGAAAAGTGCACTTAATTTTTTTTAAAAACAAGACTAGTCTGTTTATGCATGCTGTTTACCACTCAAATTTGAATTACTCTGAGTTGGGAGGAGTGTATATATAATGTTTGCACTGCATAGACAATTTTTTTTTACAAAATTAAATATCTTACTATTTATTTATCTTATTTACGTGTAACTTTTTAAGATAAGATCATTGCAATATATTTCATTCATGCATGATTGTACTGTAAAATGAAATCTCAGAGCTATAGTTTACTCAGCTTCCAGCTAGTGTCTATGACAATTGCAATGTCATTGAAGTCTAGAGCCCTCCTCTGTCTAACTGCTATCAAAATCTAAATAACTTTTGATGAGGATACAAAATGTGTTCCTATTTCATGGTCTGCAAGACATCTGATTCCCCATTCTCTTAAGAAGTTGTTATCATCTGTGTTCTTTATCCAGAAGGAGTAACTCCTGGCCTCTGGTTTGTTGTATTTAGCATGAGGACCGACCCACATCATTTTTGCACTTAAAAACAAGAAAAGCCATAATTAATGACAAATGTTCCACCACCAATTTAGAGCTCTAAAAGGCCGCATCATAGGACAAAGACTATAAAAGACATCTTAATGCACATTTATCAAAATATTTGAATATGTCTTATAGAACTGTAAGTTTTATCCTAGTTACCTTGAAGCTAAATTAGTACACCATATAATGCTCATTGCTCCATCTAATTTGTTTTCTTTGAGATAATCAAGGAGAATATTATTCGCCTCATCTTTTGTAATTTTCTTGCCATGCATAGCCTCCAAATAATCATGACCATCCCCATATTTTTCCTTCACAACCTTAAGTATATGCTCAGCTTCTCCAAACAGGTCAAACCGGATCTGATTGCTAGCCTTGTTGTACAAGTTTTCAATTTCTTCTTCAGAGCCTTTTAAAACGAACTTTGGTAGTCTTCCATGCTTTAGAAACCGCTCTTTCTGCTCTTCTAAGTTCAGAGGACAGATTGCTGTTGCAAATTTTGCTGGCTGCTGTTCCAAAGTTTTGATGTTTGTGGTTTTACCCCCAGAGGAAGTTCGATGCTGATACTTCTTGGTCATGACTACATCCACAATGAGTGTGTTTATGAACAACACTGGCTACCATTGAATCTAGGGGGAAAATAAAGGATAATAATCAAATAATGTACAGTACGTGTATACTCAATTCTCATTTATTGCGGGTTCCAGTGTATTATTAGTTATCCAGGTTCAATCAAGGGTGTACGGGGATTTACCCCGGGTTGTATTCCATACACCCTGAGGCCGAAGGCCGAAGGGTGTGTGGAATACAACCCGGGGTAAATAACACTGTGCTTTGTAAACATGATTTTTAATCATAGAGAATGTATACATTGTGACGTTTATTTACACCCGGCTCAAGTCGGGTGTTCCATTGTATTAATTAATGTGCTTTATTCCAAAATAGGATATATAGCTCATATTCTTTGCTAAACTGTGTGTTAAAATTTTTAAGTTAATGTGCGCCTCACTGCCCACAGTCCAAAATTTAAAAGAGTCTTTAGCAGCTGCTGAGCTAGGGCTACAAAAATTCAGCTTAATAGTTTAATAGTACAAATTATGAATATCCTCATTTCAAAATTGAAACGACATATACCGTAGTTAACTAATTGAAAATGCAGCAATCAGGCCTATATACATGTATGATCTTCAGTAAGGACAATACCGTTTCACGGTAACTGCGGTACTGCTCTTTTGCAGGGCAAAATGATATAGTTTGGTGAAATATGACGTAAAAGTAATTGTTGAATATACGTCATTTAATTATCTATCTACAAAAACTTCGCCAAACGTTATTATTTTGCCAAATTGACAAGTTTATTTTAAAGGTGAAACGACTTAATGATTTTATGATTTAATACTTTCAATGCTTGTGTATTCAAAAATCATATAAATACACTTAAATAAGAGTAACTTTGAATGCATAAACTTCTATTAACCAACAATTGCATTTTAGGCTATGACCGATCAACTTTTCTAGTAGTCCAATAAAAGAAAGCATATTTATTTTTTGATTTGTGACACGATAGCGGTGTTTTTCTTTGAAGTTTACTGTTCTGTATTAGCAATACAGAACGGCACTTGGGTGGGCGGAATTCTGTATTAGCCCAGTATATACTGTACATTTGCCAACTATTCTGTATCTAAAATACAGCACGGTCTAAAAATAAATCTGATTCAATTTAGCAAAAGCACGCACATATAGTATGGGGGGGGCTAAATGCTGGTGTTTAATTTTTATGAGAAATACTATTAATCCTGTGTAAAATATCAAAATTTCTCAATCACTTTTTAAAAAATTATTCCACACATAATCTACAAGTAATTTAGATCCAACGGAAAACGAAAATTCACAATAAACATAATCTACTCGTAATTTTGATCCAAACGAACAAAAAATCGCAATAACGGAAAACATCCACTCTCCTCGTGCAAAATCATTTAAGTCCATTTTTCGCGTTTTTATTTTTTAAAATCCTTCTCGCTTACGACAGCCAGACGTCTCTTTCACTTCGTTTTTAAGGTCGAAATTCAATTAGAAAAATAAAAATCCGTGATATCAATTTGAAAGTCCATCGAAGAATTTTCTGTAAATCCTGATTTTGTAAATCTGGCCAAACCGGGATTTTTAAGACCCCTGAAATATATAATCTCCATCTGCAGATCACAAAAATTACGGTTAAATCCTCCACTTTATCCATTAAGGAAAACCTCACAAACAATGATACAAGACTGACTATCACTCGATTACGTCTACCCCGTTAAATTGTCAAAACTAATCTGACGGAATTTTACGATTTCCGTAAATATATATATATACTGCGTATGCGTACTCCCCGTTGGGGCCTCAGAACTCTGGCGGAAGTTTGGATGCTGCAAAGTTATAAAGTTTTTTTTGATTGATCGTGTCACAAATCATGAGAACTCATTTTGTTTTTCCGCCTCCAAATAAAACCTGTCGAGTTCTCTAAATAATACTTATTGAGTCATTTTGTTTTTCCGCCTCCATAAAACATCTGTGTTTACCTCTTTACCGTGGGTCCTTCATTTTATCACTCTCTCTGCCTTCGCTTACTCTGCAGAAAAATATCTGCCGCCATATCTAAATAACAGAGTCGCTAGGGGAAGTACAATGACGTCACAATATCTTATGAAAGGTAAATCCAGAGAATACCCGAAAACAGGATAAAAGAAAGGACTGAAAGTACTCAACCGAAGTTACGCATAAACTGGCAGATGCAAAAACTCAACAGAAAAGCTAATGATAAATATACATTTTAGAAATAAGCGTTTATATCCAAATTAACAAACAAACAAAAAAACAAAAAAAAAAAACCCAAAAAACAAAACAAAAAAAAGTAATTAAAAAAAAAAAACAAGTATAAACATGTATTAAAGAAATCTTTACCGAAATATTCTATCATTTTCAAAAGCATCGAGGCCAACATTTTTCAATACCAAATCATTTTGTACCATTTTTTTTTTATTGCATACAATACTACATTACCCCTTTTTCAATTTACTGTAGGAAAAAGGGGGGTGGGTGGGCAACCAGCCTTGCAATGTATATTTTCAATAGCAAACCTTATGTTTAGAAAAAAAAAGTGGGTGGGGGTGAGGGGACAACCCCCCCCCCCCCCCAAGTTGCTACATGCCTGTATTTCCAATACAAACTTTTTTTTGGAGACAGAGAGACCTACATCTAGCTAAAGACAGACAAAAGAGATTTAAAGTCCCCTTGCTTTCCCCACACCATTCACTTTATTCCAGATTGTCTAGTGCTCAACTTCCAGACATCTGAGAATTTTTATACAAATACAAATACTTTATTGGCACAAACACAATTACAATAATTGGCAAAGGCCCACTGAACATCATTAAATAATGTTTACATATTTTTCAAAAATTGTCAAGTACTTGACTTCTAAGTTCAAAACAGTCTCTGATAAATTTAACAGTAACTTTCAAGACTTTTTGTATATTAATGTTTACAGTAATTGTAACATATATTTCTCATTGCTAAAATTATTATTTTTCTTTGTTATGTTATAAATATTACTAAAGAATGTGTTTCTTTGCTTAGAGTAAGAATTACATTGAAAAAGAAAATGTATTTCATCCTCAATCACACCAGTATTACAAACATTACAATATATTTCATTTCTTGATGTGGAAATATATATCTACCACTTTCTATTGCAAGTTTATGTGCGCTTTGTCTATAATTCTACTAAGAGAGGATCTCTCAGATCTTTTTTTTTTGAGTAAATCAACATAAGGACTTCTTTTACCTGAGTATACTTTCTTGAAGAAATCAAGTTTTTCTGAACCAAAGATTTTTGACGTTTGCTCCTGAGTGCGCTGATCAATGATTCTTTGTTTAATGTTTGGTAAAAGGTGTTGGATGGAACCTGTATATTTTGTAATGTTTGAGAATCCAAGATTATCTAGAATAGAAAATAATTTCTTAGTCCAAGAATTACAGTTACTTGTGGATTGGTAAAGTTTAAAGGCCAGAGAATCAGAAGTTTTCAGGTGATTCCAATATTTGATACTAGAGAGGGAAATTTTGGACCAAAGTGGTAGTCTTTTAAGTTCCGCTAAACAACCAGCATTGGATGTTTTGCAGTGCACTCCAAGGATGTCTTTAATAAATTTTAAGTGAAAATTTTCAATATTTGAAATATCTTTGGATGAGAGATCCACTCCCCATAATTCACTACAATAGAGAAGAACTGGAAGTACAATAGCATCAAAGAGTTAATTTTTCTAAAAGTTTACATGGGTTATCAAATCTAATAATTCTTTTCATTTTAAAACATGCTTTTCTAGCCTTTTCAACAAGCACAGCTGTTACTAAATTAAACTTCCTATTACATTTCATCATAATACCTAAATAACAGTATCTTGGTACAATTTGTATGCGCATTAATTACCATTAAAACTAAATTCATTTCCTTGAGGCTTGCCATTTGAGTTAAATATCATAACTTTAGATTTATCTATATACATTAACTTGAAGTTTCCAATTTGAGCAATAGTTACTGAGAATATCAAGACTGGTTTGTAAACTGCTTTTGCTTTCTGAGAATATTACAATATCATCATATAACAGACAATTTACATGAATATTGTTTACTTGCACAAGATCACATTTTCCATTTTTTAAGTCATGGACAATACCCTCAATAAAAACATTAAAAAGTGTGGGGCTTAAGACATCCCCTTGTTTGACACCACACTCAGAATTGAATACATCACTTAATCCATCAGAAAATTTGATTCTACTCATTGTATTACTATACATGGAAAATAAAATATTGAACATTTTTTGGGAAATATTACATTCAAGAAGTTAAATAGAATAAACCTAATCTCCATACAGTGTCAAATGCCTTTCTAAGATCAATAAAAGCAGCATAGACCTTTTTGTTTTTGTAGTGATCAATTATAATTGTTTTTATTGAGAACAAATGGTCTGATGTTCTACAGTTTTCCTTGAAACCAATTTGATTTTCACTTATCAGTGATGTAGAGTTTACAAATTCAAGTAGCCTAGTATGGATTTTTATATCCCCTGCTTTCGTGAGAAGATAAGATCTCATTCGTCTATCAGTCTTTTTGTCACAAAAACATTAACCTTAGTACAATGTAATAACTTTTGAGTTAGATGTGTTTGGGTAACATGTATGCCCCAGTATGAAAACATAGCTAATATATATATATTAAACTTTTCTGAAATGCAAATTAAATATACTGGTACCCGAAGTAAGGTCTTCTCACAAGAAATATAATTGTGAAATATGAAAGCCCCTAAGCACCACCTGTTCAAAAGTTATGGCCAAAGATAAGGTTTTGGAAAGGTAGGTCAAACTCCAGGGTCAAGGTCAAAGTTTATGGTTTTGAAAAAGGTCCTAGCTGTTATATACAGATATTACTTATGTGAAGTATGAAAGCCCTAGCCCTACCCTTCAAAAGTTATGGCTATGGTTCAAGTTTTTGAAAAAGTGGGTCAAACTCCAAGGTCAAAGGGTCAGAGTTGTTGTATCCAATGAAAGGTTAGACACAAGGATTGAATATGTGAATTATGAAAGCCCTAGCACTAACCCTTCAAAAGTCATGGTCAAAGATGGTTTTTAAAAAGTAGGTCAAACTCCAAGGTCAAATGGTCAAAGTTCTTGATATCCAATGAAAGGTATACTCACAAGAATTACATTTGTGAAGTAAGACAGCCCTAGCCCTTACCGTTCAAAAGTTACGGCAGAGATTTAATTTTTTTAAGTAAGTTAATCTCCAAGGTCAAAAGGTCAAAGTTGTCATAAAAACTTTAACCTTGGTCATATCTTTTGAAAGAGAAGAGATAGGACTTTCATATTAAACATGTGTATTACCTGTGACAAGACCTTTCTAAATGCACTATGGTTTTTGACCCTGTGACTGTGAAGTTTGGCACACTTTTTTAAGATTTAAACATTAAATTGGCCATACCTTTTGAATAAGAAGAGATAGGGCTTTCGTATTATACATGTGTAATATTTGTGATAAAACCTTTCTAAATATACTATGATTTTTTTACCTGGTGGCCTTGACATTTGTTCTACTTTTCAAAAACATTAACCTTGGTCATAACTTTTGAATGAGAAGAGATAGCCTAGGGCTTTTATATTTCACATGTATACTAGTATTACCTGTGACATGACCTTTATATTTTCACTGATTTTTGACCCCATGACCTTAAACCCTGATGTTTGACCTTTTCAAAAATGTATATTTTTCCTTATAACTTTTGATAGAGATGAGATAGGCTTTCATATTTGACATATCCTGTGACAAGATATTTCTGATCATTCTATGATTTCCGACCCCTTGACCTTCAAATTTGACCTAATTAAAAAAAATCGACTTTGGTGATTACTTTTGAATGACATATGATAGGGTGTTCATATTTGACACAATATGCTATAAATAATGACATCTCACCCATAAAGACACTGAAAGTGGGGACAACAATTCCTTGAATTCCTTGTTTCCTTCATGACCTTAAATTGGCCAAGATGTTTGATCTACTTAATAAAAAAAAATAACTTGGGTCATAAGAGATAGGGCTTTCATTTCTATGCCCTTGTAATGGAAGATCCAGAGGTACATAGTTCTTGCCCTGTCTGTCTGTCAGTCTGTCTGTCTGCAAAAACTTTAAACCTTGCCCATAACTTTTGATTTGTTCAAGCCATGGTTTTCATATTTCACATGTGTATTCCTTGTGAAAAGGCTTTTCTCTTGGTAACAAAATATTTGACCTCTTGACCTTGGAGTTTGTCCCACTTTTGCAGAATTTACTAAACTTTAATCTTGGTCTTAACTATTGAACAATTGGTGCAAGGGCTTTCATACTTCTTATGTGTAGTTCTCGTGACATGACCTTGTTATGGATATAAACATTTTGACCTTTTAACATTGACCTTGAGTTTAATCCACTTTTTAAAAACTTTAACCTTAGCCATAACTTTTGAACTGTTTGTACTACGGCCTTCATATTTCAATTTTGTATATTTTGTGACACGACTGGATACCAACAATTTTGACCTTGACCTTTGGGTTTGGTCTACATCTGAAAAACTTTAACCATTGCCATAACTTTTGAACAGCTGGTGCTAGGGCTTTGAAATTTCACATGTATATTTTTTACATTTGCATTACTTGTTGGAACTTTCAAATGAAATTGATATTTGAAATCCATAACCTTGATCTTAAAGCTTAATGCAGTTTTGAAAAGCGTGAGCTTTTACATAACATTCATTAACTCAATTTATATATATCTTTTTTGTATAATGAACACACATTAAAGACAATTACAATATGCCATTAATGCATTCCAACTACTAATATACAAAAACAAAATCATGTTCTTGTTTTACTTAAAACAATTTTTGAAATGTCAAAATTCAACACCTTAACATTCATTTGTTATTTTAATTCCTCATTCACTTCAAATCTACAAATATCAGAAACATACACACATTTACTAGTAATTTAAATATCTTTACAAGCTCTGAGATTTGTAATGCTTATTCTTTCAGCTTTTACTTTCTTTGTTCTCCTGTGTAAGGAAAGTTTTTAAATCACCCGTCTCTCCAAAACTGTCTTTAAGTGTCATTGCTTTCTCCTGGAAATAGTTTCTATACCACTCAATGTGTTCATGTTTCTCTTTCACTGTTAAGTGGGGATTCTGGGATAGCCCCACTGTCACTTGTTCCATAAACTTTCGTGGTAGACTCTTTAATCTTGGTCTTAACTATTGAACACATGATCAGCAAAGGACACGTCCTTTTCTTCCTCTATTCCTAAAGAGCAAATAAAGCTGGATTCATAAACTTGTATATAGGTTTTATAAACATTTTGAGTTTTTAAGGATTGGTTACAAGCATTGTTACTAATCCACTTTTTGATGTGATAGTGAATTCTTATGTTTACATGTCCATCAAGAAAGTTTAAAAAACAAGAGGCCCATGGGCCACATCGCTCACCTGAGAATCTTTTGTATATTTTGTTTTCACGATTTCCCCCTTGTAATACAATTTTGACCTTGACCTTTGGGTCATGATTTGAATAATTTAAAACACTTTACCCACAATGCTTCCATGAGTTTCACTTTTGGCCCAGTGGTTCTAGGGATTTGAAATTTTTCACATAAATATTTTTTAAAACTTTGCATTACCATTGTGGTCCTTTCAAATGAAATTGATAATTTGAAATCTACACTACCCCACAATGCTTCCACATCAGTTTCAGCTTGGCCCAGTGGTTCTTGAGAAGAAGATTTTTAAAGATTTTTCCTAAATATTTCTATGTAAAACTTTGATTCACCATTGTGGCTTTTTCAATTTAGAATTACATTAACTCAATTTATATATATCTTTTTCTGGCCCAGTGATTCTGAACACACATTAAAGATTTTTCAATATATTTCTATGTAAAACTTTGATGCCATTGTGGCCCCGCCAACTACCCCAGAAACAGAAACAATTTAGAATTAACACTACTATAGGGTGCTTCCACATCAGTTTCAGCTTTTCTGGCCCAGTGGTTCTTGAGAAGAAGATTTTCAGAGATTTTTCCTATATATTTCTATGTAAAACTTTGATTCCCCATTGTGGCCCCGCCCTAATTCCTCATGATTTGAACAATTCAAATCTACAAATACCAGAAACATACACACATTTCACTTTTCTGAACCAGTAATTTACATATCTTTACTAGAAGATTTTCAAGATTTTTCCTATATATCTCTATGTAAAACTTTTACTTTCTTTGTTCTCCTGTGTAATGAAAGTCAATTTAAATCACAATACCTCTCTCCAAATCTGTCTTCAGCTTCATTGCTTTCTCCTGGAAAAGATTTTTAAAGATTTTTCCTATATATGTTCTATGTAAAACTTCTCTTTGTGGCCCTGTTAAGTGGGGATTTGAACAATTTAAAATCTACACTATCCCAGGGTGTCTCCACATAAGTTTCAGCCTTATTGGCCCAGTGGTTCTTGAGAAGAAGATTTTTTAATGACCCCACCCTATTTTTGTCTTTTCTTGAACTCATTGTGAGGACACATGGCCCTTCTTTTAACAATTTAAATTCCTCTTCACCCAAGGATGCTTTGTACCAAGTTTCATAAACTATTCAGTGGTTTTAGAAGAATTTGTGAAAAGTTTTGATTTGAGAGGACTGGTATAGTACAAGCATTGTTACTGGACAAACCCCCTTCTTTTTCATGTAATAGCGAGTTCTTATGTTACGTGTTTTATATTAATTTTTAGGAAGAATTTTAATATCAAAGTGTGTATTAAACAGTGTGCAGTGTATACAGGTCTTTAACATTTCTAATCACTGCATGGATGGAAATAACCAAAAAATCTGAATTGACTAAATCTTTATGTCTTTAAGATTTGCTGGCTTACCCTGTTCATTATCAATGGGATAGTGCCACATCTTGCCTTCCCTGGTCAGTTTGATCATCTCCTCGAACCCGTTATAAGGAACTCTATTGTTAACCAGTCTCTCATGTTCTTCTCTCTCCAGCTGATACCAAAGGTTATCTGTAGGGTCTACAAAACAAAGATCAGGAATAATTATCAGAAAGTGGGAATTTTTTTTGAAAATATACTTTTTTTCATTTCTGGCTAGCAAACTGGAATAACTCATGGCTATTGTAGGCAAATTGAAATTTCAAGGCCACAAAATGGTTTGGAACTTTTGAGAGATAATTAAGTAAATTATGAACAGGAGTAAAGTATGTCTTCTTAACAGGGCAGGGAAATGTGAATAATCAAAATAATTAATATTATGACCAGAAAATGTAACCAAATGAAACCCATCATCATTAATCAAAGGTTTTTACAATGAATGGCCCTGTGGATTATTGGTATGTGTCTCCCAATGATCTGTTAGAGAGCTACATTCTGCAGCTACATACATAGAAAAAGAGAAAATACTAAATTAAAGTGCATACCTTGTGGTTCTGGCTTCTTCAAATCTTCCTTTGACCAAATCTTTAATGGCTCAACTTTAGAAAAACTGAAGTCCTCCCTGCAAAATAAAGTCTTAGGTTAAAAAAAGCAATACTTGTCAATAACTAAAACTCAGAGATTGAAATGAACAATGCAATTATATATTTTCTGCATATCAAAAATATTAGTTCTGTTGATTAAATTCTTGGGATTGATATTTTTCTAAACCACAGAAGGGCTTTGCATCTTAACTGTTCTCGAACTCTGATTTTTTCACGAAAAAGTCAATGAAATTATATCTATTTTATAGATAGTTTATCAGCTGTAGATTTTAGACTGGGTCATCTTACACCAACAGTAAAAGATACTGAGACACACACCATTATTTTAGAGATTGATAGAATACATTATAAATAAACTTTGTACATGTAATTCATACTAACTTTATCAAACTTACAGTGTATATGTACTTATAATTATGATAAATAAATTCAATGCAATTAAATTCCATGCAATCAAATCTCAAACTGATACAATTTCTGACTTACGGAATATTAGGTTTTTGGGTTATCTGAATTTCCCGTTTGTCCAGTGCTTCTTCGATGCGATACAATAACTCCTCATCTTCATCTTTGACTAAACAAAAAATAATGGAATTTTATCTTTTTTCCGATATTTAAGGTTTTGTTAGGGAAATCATAAATTATAATTTGTATTATCAAAGAAAAGCATAGTATATTTACAGTAGCATATATTGGGTTTAAATTGTACAAAAGTTTATACATTGTAGTTTTCAAACAGATAGTTCAGTTGTATTGAGTGAATGTAGAAAAACTTACATTGTGGCATCTCTGTAAAAAAAAAGAAGAAATGAATCAAAATCTTTCCAGTCAAAAAAAAACAACAAATCTTTCTCATGCTTCAATACAGTAAAACCACCTATAAGTTTCTTTGTTTTAAATCTTGACAGGGAAGTTAAAAGTCAAACACTCTTTACTTCAATTATTACTATTAATATTTTTTACATGAAAGTTTGCATTTAAATATCTAAAAAGGAATTTTTTAATTTTCAGTTGATAGTTTGTATATGAGGAATCCCCCCCGACATGAAACTTCCTCATAATCTGGTTTTACTGTATTTCTTTTCTAATAATTTTATATTACATATGCTGTTAAATTTTATTGATCTGTTAACTTGGAAATTCTTTTCTTTAATTGTCTATCTTGGTTTTTCTTACGTTTTGGGACTCTCACTTCTCCTATCCTGGAAAAAGACATCATGACAAGATTTAGATTGCACAATGACATTGCACTGAAGTCGAGTACAATTACTTCAGCTCTGAAAAGTTATATGAATAAAAAACCAGAAGTCTCTGTCGAGACTGTAGCTCTACTGGTTTGTACTTATCAAAAACCATTGCACTATTTTATGTATCTTTGTGTAGTCTACTTGTGTGCCAACCTATTTTGAAATCAAACTAGAACTGTAGAAGGAGTAGCGTTTTTAAGGAATTTCACAGAAAATTCTATTTTTAGTAACCATGGTAATACCGTTAATCGAAATCAGAAACAGATGCACTATTCTATGTATCTTAGTGTAGTCTACTTGTGTGCCAAGTTATATTGAAATCAGACCAGAACTGTAGAAGGAGTAGCGTTTTTAAAGAATTTCACAGAAAATTCTATTTTTAGTAACCATGGCAAAACCGTTCATCAAAATTAAAAACTGATGCACTATTCTATGTATCTTTGTGTAGTCTACTTGTGTGCCAAGTTATATTGAATTCAGACCAAAACTGTAGAAGGAGTAGTGTTTTTAAGGAATTTCACAGAAAATTCTATTTTTAGTAACCATGGCAACACCGTTCAACAAAATCAAAAACCGATGCACTATTCTATGTATCTTAGTGTAGTCTACTTGTGTGCCAAGTTATATTGAAATCAGACCAAAACTGTAGAAGGAGTAGCGTTTTAAAGGAATTTCACAGAAAATTCTATTTTTAGTAACCATGGCAACAAAGTTCATCGAAATCAAAAACCGATGCACTATTCTATGTATCTTAGTGTGGTCTACTTGTGTGCCAAGTTATATTGAAATCAGACCAAAACTGTAGAAGGAGTAGTGTTTTTAAAGAATTTCACAGAAAATTCTATTTTTAGTAACCATGCCAACACCGTTCATCAAAATTAGAAACCGATGCACTATTCTATGTTTCTTTGTGTAGTCTACTTGTGTGCCAAGTTATATTGAAATCAGACCAAAACTGTAGAAGGAGTAGCGTTTTTAAGGAATTTCACAGAAAATTCTATTTTTAGTAACCATGGCAACACCATTCATCGAAATCAAAAACTGATGCACTATTCTATGTATCTTAGTGTAGTCTACTTGTGTGCCAAGTTATATTGAAATCAGACCAAAACTGTAGAAGGAGTAGCGTTTTTAAGGAATTTCACAGAAAATTCTATTTTTAGTAACCATGGCAACACCGTTCATCGAAATCAAAAACTGATGCACTATTCTATGTATCGTAGTGTAGTCTACTTGTGTGCCAAGTTATATTGAAAACAGACCAAAACTGTAGAAGGAGTAGTGTTTTTAAGGAATTTCACAGAAAATTCTATTTTTAGTAACCATGGCAACACCGTTCATCGAAATCAAAAACCGATGCACTATTCTATGTATCTTAATGTAGTCTACTTGTGTGCCAAGTAATATTGAAATCAGACTAAAAATGTAGGAGGAGTAGCGTTTTGAAAAATTGTTTACAGACAGACGGACAGACAGACGGACAGACAGACAGACAGACAGACGGACGGACGGACGCCGGACGCATTACTATCACATAAGCTCTTCTGGTCTCTGACCAGTAGAGCTAAAAATTAGGATTATAAAGGATGTAGATATACCTCTCAGGCGTGAAGCTGTACTTTGAATATTCATTGACCTGAAACCAAATTAAAATGTATACATAAAATATGCTAACAGTAACATGATTGTGAATAAAAAGTAAGATGTCTATTGATTTTTTTTTCCAATTGGCAAAAGCAAATGCAACCTCATAAATCAAAAGACAGTGTGTCTATACTTCTTTGTTTACAGACTCACACCAAATCTTTGCTATGGTTGACTTGTTAACAGTCTTACACCATATCTTTGCTATGGTTGACTTGTTAACAGTCTTACACCAAATCTTTGCTATGGTTGACTTGTTAACAGTCTTACACCATATCTTTGCTATGGTTGACTTGTTAACAGTCTTACACCATATCTTTGCTATGGTTGACTTGTTAACAGTCTTACACCATATCTTTGCTATGGTTGACTTGTTAACAGTCTTACACCATATCTTTGCCTTGGCTAGCATGTTATCAGGTTCTAAACATACCTTAGCGATGGCTGACTCGACATCTTCCTCAGTTCTCCCTGATATGGAAAGCTCTTCACCATCCTGAGTAGGGGTAAAATACATGTAACAATTTGTCTGAAAGAGAAAAAAAATCAATCTCTGTTAGAATTTTTTAAATATAAAAATTCACATGATTTCATTTTTAATACCTGATTAGAATATCTTTAAATTAATTAGAGGGGGACTACTATCACTACTTACGCATGGAAAGTATGATTATGACATAACTGTGATCTGGGCTTTGATACAAAGTTCATAACCTAAGGGCAGCGCTTCTTTAACAATCTGAATCACTTCTATAAGAAATACGCACGCTAACTCTCGATTCCCGCCTACATTTTGGAACCATTTAATTCAATATAAATAGCAATTTGGCCATAAAATCTTTGTTTAATACAAAGAACAGCTCAATGGTAATTGATGAATTGTTTTAATACCAGCACTAAACAGTAAATTATCCATAATTCCAGCTCTTGAAAAAAGGGGAGTAGACAATATATTTTCCATTGAAATCGGAGTTTCATGGATATGATTGGATATGAAAATGAATCATTAAGCATAATTTGGTTGGATTATCTTCACTTAAAGTATTAAAAGTTAGACATTAATTTAGTGGTTCTTTGAATTTATTTTTTTTTCAAAAGATTTTTTGAAGTTAAAATATAAAATTAAATATTATAAAGAGAATACCAAAATAACAAAATAACTGCCCCTTTATCGCAATTTTGTAAGCGCCCAGGGCGGTTAATAGGGATTATATGGTATAGTATCAATGAAATATAATGTTTAGTTATAAATCGCTTTGAAATTGGTGGAAAATAAGCATTTTCGTTGTTTTTTGTCAATAAACATAAGTTTCCCCTGTGTCACACAAAAAGCTTTGGTATACTTTTTGAAATAACATTCCATATTACCTGTAAAAAGGATTTTTTGTGAAAGCGGGGGGGGGGGGGGAGATATTTTAAAAATATTTTCCGTTGATTTCTATAGTGAAAAAACACAAGTTTTCCAAAATTTTAGAGTTATCTCTCTTTGTTTTTTCCAAAAAGTAATGTTTTATGAAAATCCATGTAAATACCTATAAAAAATATTTAAAAATTCATCGAATATGTTAACTTTTGTAAATTGACTTGGAGGTAGGCGGGAAAACAATACTATCGTTCGCAGTTCTTTACTCTCTTACAATTCTTGGACGAATTCCCATGTACAGATACACGTACATCTACGAACAAATACAAATAAACATCTCACTGACCTGTTGCATAATTTCTTTAATATTTTGGCCTCTAAATCCAACCACTCTTTTTACAACTTCTTGTTGCATAATCATTTTGTGCTCTAGCCTTCAATTATACATTAACAATAATGCTTGTAATATACATGTATGTGCAACACATGGTAAACATTAAATTGGGCATTGCATTTTTTCATGTGATGCTTTTAAAATATGTGCTTTTGTTTCATATTTCTAGGTGAAAGTTTAGTAGTAATCATGGAAAGGAATGTAAATTTTACTTTGTGAAATATCATCTAAGTACATGTAATTAATTCCTATGGTGCACAATTGACTTATTTTTATACTCACCAATTTGTTCCACCCAGTTCTTCAATCTTAAAAAAAAAAGCAAAATTGTTTAAATAAGTATAATGCAATACCAAATTTCCTGATCATAAACCCTCACTGAGCTTTAAAATAACAAAAAATATACACATACCCCGGTACATAAAAAACCCAATGAATTCACAAGTGCTAATTCACTCTTACATCAGATTACTGAATACATTAACAAAGCAGAGGTCAGTCTCCAATTCTCAGACTCCCTTCCCCAAATGAGCTTCTGTAAAATCACATATTTATTTGGGGTCAAATTTTCGTTGTTTGAGGAAAAATTCTTGGTCCATACGGATTTTATTTCATGGATGAGGATTTGTTGAGTAGTTATGCATGTAGCATTTTACATTTGGTGGTGGACACAAATTCATGGGTCTCTTCATACCTCGAAAACTACAAAAATTAAACCCCAACAGAAATTTGTGATTTAACGATATCTTACCTCAGCTTTCACCTCCTCCAAAATCTCCGAATCCTTACAGTCTATTGTCACAGGTATGGAGTCCTTACCTCCGTAAAATAATCCGCTCCGGATGACCAGTTTCACCTGATTTCCAAACTGTAAAGGAATGGATAAGGCTTTAAATATGGTACCGATCAAACCTATACTGAAACCAAAGCTATTGAGAGAATGAATTGAGTAAATATTTATACATGCTTCAAGTCATTTCCCCTGAAATAAGTACGGTCAGGTATTACAGATAATAAACTTTGATGCAACATAGTCCAATAGAAATTAAATGATTGATTGATGTCTTTTATAATGTTTATAAGAGTCTCCAAATTCAACATGAATAACACAATATTCGATATAATTAGTTTTAATTGAAATTTCATTGAACAAAAACTCAAGTTCTTCAAGGTTTGTAATATATAAAATACTTTTATTGAGAACTCAGTGGTAATAAAAAGGAAACATGTTTATTGCTGCAAATTCACCATACATGTATACACAGCACTTTGGCTAATTCTGTATGCCTGGATAAAATGAATCTTGGATTAAGTGGAGTAAATCTACAGGTCCCCAGGTCTTCACTATATCTACTGTACAACTAAGTTTTACTGCATAATAATCCCCAGGCAACAAAGTTGAAACTGATAATGTGCTTGTGAGCATGGGGGTGAGTGAAAAGGTGCATGGCTTGCATAATGGAAGTAATTACTAAATCTGAATAAATGTGTGGGTTGTTGAACACTTGATAATTGGTTGATATGTGTATTGGTTGATATGTGTACCTTATTTTCCAGTTCTTCTCTTTTTCCCGTTAACAGATCAAGGACAGCATTTCTAGAAATCTGTAATCTGTTAATTGAAAATGAAAACATTATCATAAAGATAAAACCAATCAAGTCATCTGACATTGTAAAGGTAGGTCACTCTCATATTTCAACTTCAACTGGTTAAAATGTTATGTTCAGCACATACATGTATATTTTTATTATAATTCACAATAAAATATACATACAAAAATATTTTTGATAAAAACTCATCATTGAATGAGATAAATGTTAATATAAACATACCTTTTCATTGATGGTAGTTGCTTTTTAAATTTGTTGACCTAAAAAAATCAAACTTAACAATATTTATCACATTTTATTATTACTCTGACACTGCTAACTTTAGAGTTTTTAAAACAAAAGTTGTTCATGGAATTGAACACAGGGATGAAAAAGAACCATACAGTTGTCTGACCTTCAGTCTAATCAGGAGTTGGGCAATTGAAAATGCTCACAAAAATGTCTCTGAATTCTCAAAGTTATGTGTATTCTTCAAATTTCATCATTATAATAGTTAATCATATTACATAGCAATAATTTAAAAATTTCAAATATATTTTCAGGAATAGAGAAAAAAAGAAAGCACTGAGTGAAAACTGATAAAAAAAATATAGATACAGCTTATCACATCAATGTTTACATATATTAAATAATTTACCATGGCTAAGGCTGAGTTGATGTCTTCTTCATTTCTGCCATATATGACTAATTCTTCTCCATCCAATTTAGGCTTAAAATTCAGGAAACAATTTGTCTACAAAGGAATTATTTCTGAATCAGTAAGGCTTAGAGAAACAATTACAAAATGATTTTCCATCAGACTGCCTCTCCTAATGTTGTCACATTTAACAGACCACCATACTGGTAAAATTGTACCATAGTTTAAATGAAAGTACCCCTTCGAATCTAAAATGTTTATAAAGGATGTATTCCATAAAAACAGACCTCCTTAATTAATTAATCATTCTTTCATACAACACATCAACTACTTATTGCATATAACCAACCTTTTCCATGATATCTTTGACAGTTTCACCTTTATGTCCAATGACCTTCTGTGCCAGTTCATTTCCAACTTTCATGGTCTGATGTAGCCTTTTATACAGAAATTAATCACTGTTTTGTCACATGTAACGTTATGTCATCAAAATCTTAAACCTGGCTAGAATTCTGTGTTTCATGAGAAGGCAAAGTATTTTGACTAAATTATTCATTTTTTTACCTATTAACTTGTCCTCAATTTAATCAGAAAGTATTCAAAAGCACAAGTACCGGTCATACTAATTTTTAAACTCTGCTTTAAACATTTAAACATGATATGCATCAAATTGTAATCAATTTTTCACTCCCAAAAGACTAAGGTAACCTAAAACATGAATCTAAAATCTCTTATACAGTACTTACCATTTTATTTTATTCAGTTCTTCAATCTGCAATTAAAAATTACTGAGTATACCTTCTTTCTAAACAATATCATCACAGCCAAAATTAATCCAAACAACATCTCATAAAATATTCTTTTTACAAGGGTCTTCGAGAAAACTAAGACCCAGTTCAAACCACACCAGAAAAAAGGTAGCCCTTTATTTTATATACTGTAAAATCACATACTTTTGAGGGGTCAAATTTTCGTGGTTTGAAGAAAAATTCTTGGTTTCGTGGGGATTTGATTTCGTGGATGAAGAGTTGTTGAGCAGTTATGTATGTAACATTTTACATTTCGTGGCGGACATAATTACGTGGGTCTCTTCATACCTCGAAAACAACGAAAATTAAACCCCCACGAAAATTTGTGATTTCACAGTAGCAGCTAGTATTTAAATGAAACCTTGCTGGACATACGCCTCCTACCTCGGCCTCGATCTCCTTGATGGTCTCGGGGTCTTCACATTCTATTGATGCTGTGGCAGACAAAATTGCCTCTTGATTGTGAAAAATGTCAAAATCACCAACACTCAGCTTCAGCTTCAACTGATTCTCAAACTGTCAAAGATTAAATAAGGATGATTATCATAATAAGTATATAACAAATCAAAATAAATAATAAAATGGGAATTTTTCTTAGTCCAAGGGGCATGACTCTGTCAAAAGTGGCTTGATCATACCCAAAACAAAACTTGACCTAGATATTTTTATGATAAATCTGTATTTCAAATTTCATTTCAGTATGTGAAACCATTGCGAAGAAAATGAACAGAAACTTGGTGGACCGACAGACAGACAGACAGACCAACTGACAGACAGAAGCAAAGCAATATGCCCTCCCTTCTTTAAAGGGGGGTACAATGTATACAAGGATGATTGGAGATCAACAAAATAAGCTGCAACAAATTAAAAGCTTGCCTGTACATACCAGTGCTATCTTACCTCTATCACTATCACCTATCTTAACTTTACTTTAAGACACCGTGTATATCCTAACATGCGGGGTGTATACTATGTTGTGCGCGGGGTGTATGCTTCCGAAGCGAGAGAAAGGGGGTCGAGGTACGTTCTTTGTCCGTTCTCTCAACTTACGGATATTTTTTGCCAGAAAGCATGTGCCTACGGAAGAAAGCATTATCTAAGGAGTATATGGATACCCATGAATCCACTGGATACCTTCTGGTTTTATCAAACACCTAAACACAATTCCGAGGATCGGAGCAAGATTGACGCTACACTGTGTTTATGATCAAATATCAGAACAAACCTTTGCTTTATCATCACTTTTATATTATTGTTAAATACATGTTTACAATATAAACGATTGTACATATTGTCTGTAAATAAAACAGTTCGTATATAAAGATATTGACGAAAAATCAATGTTGTGCCCGGGGTGTATGCAACATGTTGTACGCGGGATGTATACCCCTTTCTTTGTACTCTATAGTATCATTGTCTGAAATGTCATTAAAAATTTTACTTAACAATTGACTTTTATGAAAGTTGTATTGATTTTTAAAATTATTCGCCATTTGCATGCACATGGAAGTAAATGTACAGGGTACTTTGTTTAACTGTTTAATGTGATGACCAACAATCCATCCCTTCTTTCAATTTAAAGGCACCGTATTCAGGCCCTTCCTTAATAAATGCTTCACACATGCATCATTTTGAACATTAACATTTTCACATAATCTGTAACTTTTAAAAATATTTTTTAAATGACATTGAAAAATGTTTTTTTGTAATGTCATAAATACAGCAAAAAAGTTCTCCTTCATGTAGTATTTAAATGCTGTGTACTTTGCCCCCAGGAGCCCATATTTGGCAGTAAACTATTTGTTTTATATTGAGGCATTGTATTGTATTGAGTACACATTTTCTAGAAATGGGCCTGGGGAGGGTGTGTTTGTGTCTTAGGTTATTTTTTAGGGGGGGGGGGTCTTACACTACGTGTATATATATACGATAATAAATTAGAGGAGGGGTAAATATGCATTAATTGATATTAATTACACATCATCGTAAAATTGTACCCAAAACAGTTTTGTTTCAATTGTGCATGCTCTCAGAAAATTGTCGTCCCTTATTACAAATGTGCATTTTTATAGCCGGCTTTATACGTTTACTGTAATTCGTAAAATATGAAATATTTTCAGATAAGGAAAAATGAGTCCACATATTGCGAAAATTGAAAGGAAAAATTATATATCATACAGACACATAGTATTACCCCCCTTTTTGTTCCAGACACAACTTTTCACTATAGAATATGTTCATCGAAAGACGGCTTGCCCCTCCCCTCTTATGTTGCACGATAGTCAAATAATGGTTATGTAGTATGTTTAAGTAAAAAAAAAGGAGAATTGGTACTGAAAAAAGATGGGACCTACAATCCCGTCTGAAATACGACTTTTGAGTTTCGATAAGCTCCCCCCTCTTTTTTCATAGCTAGTCAACTTATGTCAAGTTTTTTTTCTTTCAGGTACCCCCCCCCTTGAAAAACGATTCTACGTCACTGCCATAAATGCTTAAGAATACATGTATTAATAACAAATGTTGCAGAAACAAAAAAAAAAGATCAATTAATTCATGTACTGTTTCTATTATTTTTAACAGGCCAAATATTTACATTAAAACGAGCTGAAGAAAGGACAAAGTGTCCTCAATCCAGGGGGGGGGGGGGGGCGCGAGATTTCATGATTACGTAGATTTAGACCATTGCGCACACCTAGTGCCTATTTTGTTTATATACGATCATTTCTTTTTTAATTTTTCTATTTTGATTTTTAAAAATTTAGTTTGTTTATAATTTAGTAAGTTTATGGAAATAAGTTTTTGGTTCGGCATTAGTATTAAGGTCTTTTATCAACACTATCTGTTGCTTATAACCCTGTGTGAATAATATTTCCATTGATACTTCGCACTAACAATCCTTAGAAAAATATGGGGTATACACCCCGTGTACAACATGTTGCATACACCCCGGGCACAACATTGATTTTTCGTCAATATCTTTATATACGAACTGTTTTATTTACAGACAATATGTACAATCGTTTATATTGTAAACATGTATTTAACAATAATATAAAAGTGATGATAAAGCAAAGGTTTGTTCTGATATTTGATCATAAACACAGTGTAGCGTCAATCTTGCTCCGATCCTCGGAATTGTGTTGAGGTGTTTAATAAAACCAGAAGGTATCCAGTGGATTCATGGGTATCCATATACTCCTTAGATAATGCTTTCTTCCGTAGGCACATGCTTTCTGGCAAAAAATATCCGTAAGTTGAGAGAACGGACAAAGAACGTACCTCGACCCCCTTTCTCTCGCTTCGGAAGCATACACCCCGCGCACAACATAGTATACACCCCGCATGTTGGGATATACACGGTGTAAGACAAGTTTTCAAATACATGTAGTTGATCCAATCATTGGCTTCTCTAGGTCTTTGAATAACACACTTACAGTGTATTTAATGTACATGTCATTATGAGATATTTTGTCTTATGATTTCAAAAAAAAAAAAACTTATTATGTTGACTTACATTCTTCAAAATATAGGAACAAACAACTTCTCTTTTTAGGTGTGTAAGTTACCTTGGTTTCCAACTCTCTTCTTTTCCCCGTAATCAGGCCCAGGTAAGCATCTCTGGAAATCTTTATTTTCTTGGTGGATCTAAGAAAAAAAGATTTCTAACATAATCATGAGACATACTTCATGTTTTAACTTGCCTAAGAGGCCCATTTTTAAATCAACTGACTTTAATTAGGTTTTACCTTGTATCTGTCTTGTGTTCTATAAATTCATTGATCTGAAAGAAAATAAACACTTAACATGTAATACATTGTACACGTACATGATTGAAATTCCAATCTGTAGTTTTAAGAAGTTTCTTTGAGAGACCTTAAACAAATTAATTCAAATTGGAAAAAAAATTAATCAATATAAAAATTCACGTTTTGTCACTTCAATTAAACTTAGAAGTTTACAGCAGGTAAAACCCTCCCAGACCCAAATCTACCAATCAAAAAGTACAAATATTTATTACCCTCCCTGACCCCAATCTGCCAGTCAATCAAACAATTAACACATACCCTGGCCATGGCCGCCTTGAAGTCTTCCTCATTTCTAGCGTAAATGGTCAGATCTCTACCATCCTCAGCTTCCTTAAAACTTAGGTAACAGTTTGTCTGTAGATATAATAGAAGATAGTATAAACTTAAGTAACAGTTTGTCTGTAGATATAATAGAAGATAGTAAAAACTTAAGTAACAGTTTGTCTGAAGATATAATAGAAGATAGTAAAGACTTGGGTAATAGTTTGTCTGTAGATATAATAGAAAATAGTAAAAACTTAGGTAACAGTTTGTCTGAAGATATAATAGAAGAAAGTAAAAACTTAAGTAACAGTTTGTCTGTAGATACAGAAGACAAAACTTAGGTAACAGTTTGTCTGAAGATATAATAGAAGATAGTAAAAAACTTAGGTAACAGTTTGTCTGAAGATATGATAGAAGATAGTAAAAAACTTAGGTAACAGTTTGTCTGTAGATACAGAAGACAAAACTTAGGTAACAGTTTGTCTGAAGATATAATAGAAGATAAAAAACTTAGGTAACAGTTTGTCTGAATAAAATTAAAAAACTGTAACAGTTTGTCATATAATCAATTAAAAACTTAGGTAACAGTTTGTCTGTAGATACAGAAGACAAAACTTAGGTAACAGTTTGTCTGAAGATATAATAGAAGATAGTAAAAAACTTAGGTAACAGTTTGTCTGAAGATATAATAGAAGATAGTAAAAAACTTAGGTAACAGTTTGTCTGTAGATATGATAGAAGATAGTAAAGACTTGGGTAATAGTTTGTCTGAAGATATGATAGAAGATAGTAAAAACTTAGGTAACAGTTTGTCTGAAGATATAATAGAAGATAGTAAAAACTTAAGTAACAGTTTGTCTTATGAACACATACCCTTAGGCAGTTTGTCATATGGAAGATAGTAAAAAACTTAAGTAACAGTTTGTCTGTAGATACAGAATACAAAACTTAGGTAACAGTTTGTCTGAAGATATAATAGAAGATAGTAAAAACTTAGGTAACAGTTTGTCTGAAGATATAATAGAAGATAGTAAAGATTTGGGTAATAGTTTGTCTGTAGATATAATAGAAGATAGTAAAAACTTAGGTAACAGTTTGTCTGAAGATATAATAGAAGATAGTAAAAAACTTAGGTAACAGTTTGTCTGAAGATACAGAAGACATAAATTAGGTAACAGTTTGTCTGAAGATATGATAGAAGATAGTAAAAAACTTGGGTAACAGTTTGTCTGAAGATATAGAAGATATTACATGTATGTAATTTCAGTTACAGTTTGAAGATATAGCTCAACCTTCACAAACAATAAGGTGATAAGGCTAATAAACCTACCTTTTCAATGATATCACTGATGTTTTGACTTCTTACTCCAATTATATGTTTTGCAACCTCATCTTCCACATTTATAGTGTGTGGCAACCTTTAACACAGAATACTAAATATGAGCATAAATCAACTTTGATAAGTATAATATATACAGGGCTAAAAAGGAGAAAGCTAGGACATTTAATGTTAATTAAAAGATGTTCTTTAAAATTCTAGATTTATTCAATACTTACCATTTTGTTTTATTCAGTTCTTGAATCTTAAAAAGAAAAAAAAACACATTTTTAATAATTCTAATAAAGCACCAAATGCCAAAAAAACTAAGAAAAGGCAAATGCCAAATTTTATCAAAATGGTATGATACTTGCAATGTAGCAAAATTTTTTTTTACATATTCTGTTCTTTATTTTGTCAAAAATCTTTGTAGCGATACCAATCATCTTTGCTTTCAATTATAAAAAATGGAAATATTTAACTTAAATCTTTCATTTTATTTGCTGAACATGAAAAGAGCTCTTGCAGGGAAATTTAGTTAAGAGCATTATATAGCATCCCCTTTATGACACAGACTGAATCTCACCTCAGCTAGAAGCTCCTCTGCAATCTGTGGGTCTGTATACTCTAATGACGCCTGATGATCTAGGGGTAACCTTAGCTTCACACAGTCCCCAAACTAAGAAGAAATAATCTTATCTCTTACCAAAAAAAATAATAACCAGAAGTCTCTGAGTAGACTGTATCTCTACAGTTTTACACTAAGACAGAGAATCAGAAAGGTAGCAAAATGATGTTAATTTATAAAGGTACTTCCTATTTTAAAGCCCCTAAAATAACTCTTGAACACTTATTATCTTATTTTTTCACTCTTTTACTTTCTCTTTCTATTCTGTATCTACCTTGTTCTCAAAGTCTCTTCTTTTTCCCATCAACAGTCCAACAACAGCATCTCGGGAAATATCTATTCTCCAAGGGACTTCAGAGCTAATTCAATGTATAACGTGAAATTCAAAGTAAAATGTGATTCATATATAAAACAAGGTTTTGAAAAATTCTAGTACATATTATAATAAATATTGCATAAATATTGCATGCAGTTTAGGCTAACATTGAAAATTTTCAGCCCAAGAACACCACATTTTCACACTCATTTCATTATCATTCAAAGCTAGTTTGATGTTTTTTTTTCAAACAAGAGGCCCATGGGCCACATCGCTCACCTGAGCACTAAGGGTAGGAAAAAGTAGAAAATGGCTTTTTATTGTAAAGTTTAAATCCAAAAGTAGTCCCATGACCAATCATGGATTTGCTATTTTTTAGAAAATGATTTTTAAAGAATTTTCCTATATATTTCTTTAAAAACTTTTGTCGGCCATTTTGGCCCCGCCCTACCCCTGGAGGTCATGATTTGAACAAATTTGAATCTACACTACTTGAGCATGCTTCCATATAAATATGATGAATTATGGCTTTGTCATTCTTGAGAAGAAGATGTTTAAAGAATTTTCTTATATATTTCTATGTAAAACTTTGGTCGGCCATTTAGGTCCCGGTCAACCCCCGGTGGTCATGATTTGAACAAACTTGAATCTACACTACCTGAACATCCTTCCATATAAACATGATGAATTATGGCTTTGTCATTCTTGAGAAGAAGATTTTTAAAGAATTTTCCTATCTATTTCTATGTAAAACTTCGGTCGGCCATTGTGGCCCCGCCCTACCCCTGGGGGTCATGATTTGGACAAACTTGAATCTACACTACCTGAACATGCTTCCATATAAATATGATGAATTATGGTTTTGTCATTCTTGAGAAGAAGATTTTTAAAGAATTTTCCTATATATTTCTATGTAAAAGTTTGGTCGGCCATTTTGGCCCCGCCCTACCCCGGGGGTCATGATTTGAACAAACTTGAATCTACACTACCTGAGCATGCTTCCATATAAATATGATGAATTATGGCTTTGTCATTCTTGAGAAGAAGATTTTTAAAGAATTTTCCTATATATTTCTATGTAAAACTTTGGTCGGCCATATTGGCCCCGCCCTACCCCCGGGGGTCATGATTTGAACAAACTTGAATCTACACTACCTGAGCATGCTTCCATATAAATATGATGAATTATGGCTTTGTCATTCTTGAGAAGAAGATTTTTAAAGAATTTTCCTATATATTTCTATGTAAAAGTTTGGTCGGCCATTTTGGCCCCGCCCTAACCCCGGGGGTCATGATTTGAACAAACTTGAATCTACACTACCTCAAGATGTTTCCCCATAAGTTTCATCTTTCCTGGCACAGTGGTTCTTGAGAAGAAGATTTTTAAAATATGCCACCAAATTTTCATTAATTCCCAATTATCTCCCCTTGAATGAGGGCATGGCCCTTCATTTGAACAAATTTGAATCCTCTTCACCCAAGGATACTTTGTGGCAAGTTTGGTTGAAACTGGCCCAGCGGTTCTTGAGAAGAAGTCGAAAATGTGAAAAGTTTACAGACAGACGGACACACGGACAGAAAGACGGACGGACGCCGGATAAAATGTGATCAGAAAAGCTCACTTGAGCCTTCGGCTCAGGTGAGCTAATAAAAAAAACAGAGCTGTGCATTTCTAAGGCTTATGGGGCTTGGGACAAATATATATATATATATATATATATATATATATATATATATATAGTTGAAAATAGTTCACAGTCGATGTCACACAGGTGAAAATAATTATAAAAGAAAAAGAAAATGCAGTTTCCAAATTTCATTTAACACAAGCGCTTTCTGGATTTCATAATCCGTCTTCAGGTGTACATAAATTGAACTGATTGTTTTGCTTGGTAATGTTAACTATGACGTCATGATGTCATGAGAGTCTTTGCAGGGAAGGAAGTAATCTATGACGACATACTGTAAATCACTTTTTATTCGCGAGAACTTTATTTTCGCGTAATTACGCGAGACTATGTGCTCGCGAAAATTTAATTCTCGCGTTAAATAGTATTACTAAAGATTAGATAGAGTATTAACCACAATTCGCGTAAATTTTCTCTCGCTAATAAAGAGTCAATGACTATCTCGCGAAAATAAGGTGTCGCGAAAATTTAGTGATCTACAGTAGTATGGCTACGTTACGTAAAAGTTAGGGAAAATCAAATTGGACAATAAATCACATATTTTTCAGTCTCAATAAACAAAGTAAAAAGAAATTCTAATTGATGGTATATAAAAATAGGTAATTTCTCAATGTTAATGTTTGTTCAGTTTTGGTGAAAAAAGATTTATGAAGTAGTTTTCTTTTGCTAATCTCATTGCAGTGGAATCGTTCCTAAGTTTATAACATAGGTAATCAGAGATTACAGAGCTCACCTCAACGAATGTTGTCTTTAAGTAAGGCAAAGTCACACAATTAACCAACAAAAAGTATACATTCCAAAAATGAAAATATTTTTAAAAGCAATTTTGATCTGATACTTTGAAATAGACCTACATAAAAAATTTAAACTACTTCTTCTTCATGAAAATGTAATATAAATCCAGCATCTGAAGCAAATTTGAGAGTTTTCATCTCTTGATGCAGCATTTGTGCAAGTTTGGTTTATACAATGTTATATAAGCCTTATAGTTTTTGGTAATAGACCTGCAACCATAACTTTTACCTTGTCTATTATCTGAAAAATGTATGTCCAATTCAGCATCCGAAGCAAGTCCATTAGTGTGCATCCTTAAATGTATCATCCATGCAAGTTTGCTCATTATAGGGCTCATAGTTTATTGGAAATGAAACATGCATCAAAACTAACATTTTCACTCATCCACAAAAAGTAGGTCAGATTCAGCATCCGAAGCAAGCCTGGAAGTATGCATCCTTAGATGTATCATCCATGCAAGACTGGTCATTAAAGAACTCATAGTTCCTTGGAAATGAAACCTGCACCAAAAACTTTATACTATTCACTTAACCAGAAAATGTAGGTCAGATTCAGCATCCGAAGCAACCCTGGTAGTGTGCATCCTTAGATGTATCATCCATGCAAGTTTGGTCAACATAGGGCTTAAAGTTACTTGGAAATGAAACCTGCACCAAAAACATTAACCTGTTCGCTCAACTGGAAAATGTAGGTCAGATTCAGCATCCGAAGCAAGCCCGGTAGTATGCATCCTTAGATGTATCATCCATGCAAGTTTGGTCAACATAGGGCTTATAGTTACTTGGAAATGAACCCTGCACCGAAAACTTTAACCTGTTCACTCAACTGGAAAATGTAGGTCAGATCCAGCATCCAAAGCAAGCCCGGTAGTATGCATCCTTAGATGTATCATCCATGCAAGTTTGGTCAACATAGGGCTTATAGTTACTTGGAAATGAAACCTACACCGAAAACTTTAACCTGTTCACTCAACCGGAAAATGTAGGTCAGATCCAGCATCCAAAGCAAGCCCGGTAGTATGCATCCTTAGATGTATCATCCATGCAAGTTTGGTCAACATAGGGCTTATAGTTACTTGGAAATGAAACCCACACCAAAAACTGCACCAAAAATGTTAACCTGCTCCAAAAACATTAACCTGGTAATTCCTTTGCTGAAATTGCTGGTACAATAAAACACACTAAAACCATCTTCCATGCATGTCTAATCAGTATAGGACACAGAAGTAATTAAAAAGAAAACTGCTCCAAAAAACTTAACCTTAACCTGGGACGCCGACGCCGAGGGTATCACATAAGCTCCCCCCAACTTCGTTGAGGTGAGCTAAAAAGGGGAACACACAGTAGTTTCCTTGTGAGCAAATATCGAAATGTTCACTGCATGGAGTGTTTCTGAGGCTCTGATTGTTAATTTGTTGGCGATGTACGCGCATGCGGGTGGTTAATTGGGTCCCGGTTTGGCCGATGTATTCCTCTCCGCAGTTGTTACACGTAATACAATTAAGGAGGTTTTTGCTCTTACAGGTCATATTTTCATTCACAAGAAATGTTTTTCCACACTTGAAAATAATAGAGGATCCTGTTCGTAGGTTAGGACAGGTACCGCATCTCGGATAACCGCATCTTGTTAAGGAATATTGTTCTGGAATGGTGTTGAATTTAGCTCTGGTCAATAGTCTTTTTAAATTTGGCGGTTGTCTTTGGCTGCGAATCAAATTCGATTTCGGTATAAGTTGTTGAAGATCATTATCCCGTTCAATGATGGTAAAATTCTTTCTTGCCTCTTGAAATATATTAATGTGTTTCGGATTGAATGTTGTTACAAAAGGGATTAAGAATGGATCTTTGTCCTTTTTTCTGGTTGTTCTTAAAATATGCTGCGGAAATTTCTTGGATTCTTCTATGGCAGAAAGGATAAGATTTTCTGGATAATGTTGTGCTAGAAGAAATGTTTTTAGTTCGGTCAACCTTTGATTTCTAGTTTCTGTATCTTTCACAATCATACAAATCCTTCTGGCTAAGTTGTAAGGGATATTTCTTTTGGTGTGAGTAGAATGGCACGAAGTGAAGTTTAGATATATATATATATAAAAATGAATTTAGACATTTAAACACCAGCCCATGAATCCTCTCAGATGTTTCCATTACATTGTAGTCCTATCAATATCTTCTGTCATATTTAATGGTACATACCTTTCGGTTATCTTCAATTTTGCATGTTCTTTGATCTGTAATTTTATATACAGAAATTAAAATTAACATTTGAGAAAATACATGTATACGTAAGTCAATAAATGTCCTATATGCATTTTATATTACAAGAGACCCATGGGCCACATCGCTCACCTGAGCACTAAGGGTAGGAAAAAGTAGAAAATGGCTTTTTATTGTAAAGTTTAAATCCAAAGTAGTCCCATGACCAATCATGGATTTGCTATTTTTTAGAAAATGATTTTTAAAGAATTATCCTATACGAGGGTTGTCCCAAAATTCCGTAGACAAGCGTTGTTTTGTAGGAACCCTATGTCATACATTAATGAAACTTCCTATATAGATTAAACCAACACTATCTAATAAATTTATAATATAGAGGAACTATTCAAATTATTCCAATTTAAAAGCCACATTTCAATGTCCGGTGTAGGAAGGCAGCGCAATACCCGAAAGTTGCGATTTAAACTTAATATATTATATTTGAAATCCTTCGGAAACGTACTTACTACCCCGTATTTTGTCAATGGAAATGAAAATTCTTAATACTGTCTTATTAACTAAATTTCCTAAAATTTTGGTGTTTATGCTTTGATAAATATGAATTTTATAACGTTTTATATACATGGGGTTGAAATCCGACATTTTGAAAAATGGCGGCTGCATTGGCACAGGCGGTGCACTGGACTATGATCAAGTGTTTTGATCCTGAATTCACTCTTACAGAAATGTACCACTCATAAATGTGATTAGGAAAGTTTCTATCGTCTTTAGTACTTAAAATGACTAAACGGTTTCTCTTTGTATATGTGAATAACAGTAACTAAAATAAAAGACAGGGCTAAGAAATGTGCAAAAGTTCCATTGTGCAACTCCATTACAGAAAACAGACGTAAAGCCCGTAGAAATATAGCGTTTTCAAATTATCATTATTCCATACCTATACATGTATATACTTTGTTTACATATTTTAATGTTTGATCATATCATAGTAATTAAGATATTTCACATTTATAACTATAACCGTTTCGTTTAATTTAAGAATTTGATTCTGGTAATTGAAATATTTTCTCCAAAAATTTGAACCGTTGACATTTGTATTTTTTGACGTTGCAGATTGCTCCGGGTGTTGGGGAACGATATCACTTTAAATGTTAATATTCGAAAAGTTTTCAAGTAAACATGATAAAACTTCTTAATTTATCTGCCAAGAATACGCTTTATCCACCCTGAAAATTTTAGGAAGATGCATTTTCTTTAAAAGATATGAGCTCAGTCTACGAAATTTTGGGACAACCCTCGTATATATCTTTAAAAACTTTTGTCGGCCATTTTGGCCCCACCCTACCCTTGGGGTCATGATTTGAACAAATTTGAATCTACACTACTTGAGCATGCCTCCATATAAATATGATGAATTATGGCTTTGTCATTCTTGAGAAGAAGATGTTTAAAGAATTTTCCTATATATTTCTATGTAAAACTTTGGTTGGCCATTTTGGTCAGCCCTACCCCCGGGGGTCATGATTTGAACAAACTTGAATCTACACTACCTGAGCATGCTTCCATATAAATATAATGAATTATGGCTTTGTCATTCTTGAGAAGAAGATTTTTAAAGAATTTTCCTATATATTTCTATGTAAAAGTTTGGTCGGCCATTTTGGCCCCGCCCTACCCCCGGGGGTCATGATTTGAACAAACTTGAATCTACACTACCTCAAGATGTTTCCCCATAAGTTTCATCTTTCCTGGCACAGTGGTTCTTGAGAAGAAGATTTTTAAAATATGCCACCAAATTTTCATTAATTCCCAATTATCTCCCCTTGAATGAGGGCGTGGCCCTTAATTTGAACAAATTTCAATCCCCTTCACCCAAGGATACTTTGTGGCAAGTTTGGTTGAAATTGGCCCAGCAGTTCTTGAGAAGAAGTCGAAAATGTGAAAAGTTTACAGACAGACAGACGGACAGACGGATGCCGGACAAAATGTGATCAGAAAAGCTCACTTGAGCCTTCAGCTCAGGTGAGCTAAAAAAGGATCAGTTTTGAATTTATATTGCTGTAATAAAGGTAACACAGTTTCAGATATTAAACTAACCCTGTTCTAACTTATCTAAGCTAGTGCTAACTCAACAAGCTGTTCTAAAATACCCTAGCTAGTGCTAACTCGACAAGCTGTTCTAACTTACCCTAGCTGGTGCTAACACAACAAACAGTTATATCTTAGTGCTCAGCTAGTGCTAACTCAACAAGCTGTTATAACTTACCCTAGCAAGGCTAACTCAACAAGTAGTTATAACTTACCCTGGCTAGTGCTATCTCAACAAGTAGTTATAATTTACCCTGGCTAGTGCTAACTCAAAAAACTGTTATAACTTACCCTAGCTAGTGCTAACTCAACAAATACATGTAGTTATGACATATCCTAGCTAGTGCTAACTCAACAAGTAGTTATAACTTACCCTGGCTAGTGCTAACTCAACAAGTAGTTATAACATACCCTGGCTAGTGCTAACTCAACAAGGTGTTATAACATACCCTAGCGAGTGCTAACTCAACAAGCGGTTCTAAAATACCCTGGCTAGTGCTACACAACAAGCTGTTCTAAAATACCCTGCATAGTGCTAACTCAAAAAACAGTTATAACATATCCTGACTAGTGCTACACAACAAGCTGTTATAACTTACCCTTGCTAGTGCTAACTCAACAAGCAGTTATAACTTACCCTTGCTGGTGCTAACTCAACAAGCAGTTATAACTTACCCTAGCTAGTGCTAATTCAACAAGTTGTTCTAACATACCTTAGCTAGTGCTAACTTAACAAGCTGTTCTAACATTATCTAGCTAGTGCTAACTCAACAACTGTTCTAACATACCCTAGTTAGTGCTAACTCAACAGGCTTTTCAACGTACCCTGACTAGTGCTAACTCAACAAGCAGTTATAACTTACCCTAGCTAGTGCTAACTCAACAAGCTGTTATAACTTACCCTAGCTAGTGCTAACTCAACAAGCAGTTATAACTTACCCTAGCTAGTGCTAACTCAACAAGCAGTTATAACTTACCCTAACTAATACTAACTCAACAAACAGTAATAACTTACCCTAGCTAGTGCTAACTCAACAAACAGTTATAACTTACCCTAGCTAGTGCTAACTCTACAAACAGTTATAACTTACCCTAGCTTGTGCTAACCCAATAAGCTTACCCTAGCTAGTGCTATCTCAGAAAGCAGTTACTTACACAACACGTAGTTATAGCTTACCATAGCTAGTGCTAACTCAACAAGCAGTTATAACTTACCCTAGCTAGTGCTAACTCAACAAGCAGTTATAACTTACCCTAGCTAGTGCTAACTCAACAAGCAGTTATAACTTACCCTAGCTAGTGCTAACTCATAATCCTCCTCATTTCTGACAAATAAGATCACCTCTTTTCCACCTTTTTCTGGTTTATAGTAGAAACAGTTGGTCTGGAAAAAAGAATACATTTTGTTACAGTCTTAGAAATATAAAACCATTCAATATATAGTAATTTAAGTTTACAGTGAACCTAATTGTATTAACTTATGATTAACACATCAATTTGTTTGTTCCTGGCACTTTGCTTTAAGCCTGTTTTACTGTATATCACATCTCACACTTGTACAAAATATGATGGTTTGATATTTAATATACGTATATGTAATACCATATATCCGTTTTTTTCACGATGATCTATTTTTCACTTTTTCTGCAACCTTTTTTAATTCGCAAAAAATAAAACACGCAGAAATTATGTCAGCTACAATGTGACATAAAAACATTACCATTTTTTTTTTTAAATCTTCAATCATAAAAAAATAACTTACACAAAATAAAAACTGTACAAATCTACCCACTTTTCGCAAAAATTTCCAATATGCGAAAAAATCCGGATATATGGCATAAATATTGATATTTTTCTAGTCAATATCAAATCATACTAACCATCTTAAGAGTCACTTATTGTTTTATAATGTACAAAGGTAACAAACTGGTACTGGATAAATTATCAAATAAAAAATAAATCACTGAAGGCTCAGTGGAAATGATTTTAATCTTACCATATCCAAAACATCCCGGAGGATCTGTTCCATATCTCCTGTCCTTTGTGTAGAATCTTTATACTGGATGTTTACTTTGTATGGCGTCCTTTAATGAAGATAAATAAATAATAGTACATGTACATGTGTATTCCTCGTTTAACATTAATAACAATTTATCCATCGTTGGCTATACTAATTTAAAAGTAATTTAGACACCACTGGTTACATGGATTTTGGTCAACAATATTCCAGATTAGACAACTAATAATTCAGTCTGAATCAGTGGTAAGTTCTTGGAATACTTGGAAGAGGTAACAGAATAGAAACTTTATACCGTTCAGTACTTACCAAGTTTCATTCTTTAGTTTCTCAATCTTCAAAATGAAAAATCAAATATTTTACAACCACTCTTAGATGTAAATGAAACAGAACACCAACAGGAGTTTTGAAATCTTTTTTAAAACACTTGTAAAATACAAATTTTGAAAAATTGTTTAGTAATCAAATTCTCTTGAGAAGTTTTTAACTGAATGTAATGAAGTACTGTCTTGTTTCATTTAATATGAATGAACTTGGATCTAACCTCATTTGAAACTTTCTGTGTAATTTCTGAATCTTCACATTCTATTGATACAAGTGCTGTGCCTTTCTCGTCAACTTCAAATAGTTTGTGATTATCAATGTGTAATTGAAGCTCAAGTTTATCTCCAAACTGTAAAAGAACAAACAAGAATATTGCATAAGTATATTCAAGATTAAATTACCAAGACTTATTTTGCACCAATGAATAGGTAAAACATTTTCTTATTACAGGTGACTCTCGATGGCTCGAACTCCGATCTCTCGAAGTGAACCTCCGGTCCCGTTTTTTTCCTCTATATAATTAAGCAAATTTACTCGTGATCTCTCGAACTTCTATCTCTCGAAATTCCCCATCTCTCGAACCAAAATCTTGGTCCCGTTATACATACTTCATTGAATTTTACTCTCTATCTCTCGAAGTTTTGATTGCGCGTTTATACACGCCAATCAAGCGTAAAATTGATGCAGTCTGGACTTACCCAGAACAATGAATGCCTTGGGCTGGCATGGAGGTGTTAATTGGGTGTTTACATAGGTGACACTACACCTGTGCGTCGTCTGTGTTTTGATATAATTAATTGGTTATTAATTACAGGGTAGATTATAAAGAAATTCACAACTCAATTCAAATTGAAATTAAGACGATAATTTTTAGAAATTTAAAATTTATAGATGTTCGTTTCAGTAAGTTCCAATAGACTTTGAACTTTTATTATAATAAAATAGAGTCTAAATAATTCCAGCATGGCAAGTATTGCACAAGAAAATTCCTTTCTCAAGGACTGAATACCGATTAAGAAAATCTGGTGAACACTGGTGAAGGTCCCGATCAAGCCGCAGAATAGCCAAACCGACAATTGCTATTCGGGTTTCATGTACCGGTAATCATGAATAAGAACAAATAAATACTGAAACTTTAGAAATTCGTTTTATTTATTCGAAATACAATCATTGTTGTTGATATCACGTTAATTACCTGTCAAATACGATTGAAAACGTGCAATGACTTTATTTACATATACTTCCGGTATCTTTAAAAGTAGAACTTCGGTGATCAGAACTGAAAATTCCAGATTTTTTTTTACTTTCTATCTCTCACACCCCTCGATCTCTCGAACTTTTCTTGCGGTCCCTTGAACTTCAAGAGATCGAGAGTCACATGTATAATCATTCTCTTTAAATATGGATACCACATATTGTACCTGATTTTGTAATTCCCTCTTTTTCCCCATTATGAGACTAAGGGCTGCATCTCGGGAGATGTCAACTCTCTTGACAGACCTGGTATCAAAAAATAAATTATTTATATCATAGAAAACACGAGCAACACTGCAGTAAGTTAAAAAATCCTCTAAGACTTAAAAACATTATAAACACTTAACACAATTCTGAATTTCTTCTTGTATGGATTTCTCTTTACTTGTATGCCCTGATGGGCCCTTGGTATTAATAAATCTTATCATAATACAGTCCATGCATGGATATATAGTAAATAACAGTTACTGTTTTAAAATATCCAATTCCTTACATGCCTTAAAAAGCTTGTATGGATTAGAAGAAAAAGGTACTGTATAAGTAGAATTTTTAGCAAGGATTTAATTTTGGCATTATTAGCGAGGGTGCCGAGATCGCTAAAATTGAATATCGCTAATTGTGTTTTATTTGTAATAGCTTCTTTAATGTGCATTTTAAAATCGCTAAAATAACATCTCGCTAAAAATAAATTCCTGTTTTAAGGACAAATCGCTAAATTTGCATCTCGCTAAAATTTCCTTTTATATGGTAATAAATGAAATAATTTTATTTTAAATTTTTAAAACATCACAAAGAATCTAAATATACAGTCCTTACCTATTAAGTCCCAGCTCCTGATAAATCTGCAAAAAATCAGATTCTGACAGTCATTATTTCTTTTTCACAAGGATTACTTCAATTATCCCGGAATTTTGACACAAGAAATTTGCATTTTTCAGTTATAATGTTATATAGATCATCTGAATACCCTCTAAAATACTTAACTTCATACCAAACTGCTAGGAAAAGTTGAATTTTGTCAGATATTAAGATAAGTGGCCTAATAAGGCACAATGACCATCAGAACTACACAGCTCTAACTAAAACCAAGTGGGTCATTCTCTAAACTGGCTCCCGAGACACAAAACTTACACTAGCTCATTTTTTATCCCAGTCTTACTTTCCTCAATAAGAGTACATTATGGAATGCCAGACTGAGATCAAAGTGAGCTCATTTAAGTTTTATGGCCCCAGAGTCAGATTACTTTCCGAGATCCTAAAGAACCTGGAACAAAACTTAAGAACCTATTTGAGAAGAAGCTATATACATGTAATAGTATCTAGAAACTGCAAAATATTCCAAACCAGACTTCTCCAACAAATAAAGTTTACAAATACTGTGAAATCACTAATTTTCTTGGTTTTCAAGGTATGAAAGACCACAAATTTATGTCCACCATGAAATTTAATTTTTCACAGATATTACTACTCACAACAATTCTTCACCAACGAAATGAAATCCCCACAAACCCATTATTTTCCTCAAACCAAAATTTAACCCCTCGAAAAGTTGTCATTTTACAGTACACAAAATTATAAATTAATGACCCATTTCATGTACCAATTCTAATTTTACCATTTCTACCACTTTATCAATTTTATCAATTCAACCACTTCTAATTTACCCATTTCTTACACTTCTAATTTTACCATTGCAGTGGTTTCCTCCAAGTCTTCTGCATTCTGTGCAGTAATAACAACTCTACAAGTTTTGTGGTCTTCTTGTTCTAGAATTCTGATGGATATTCCTTTCTGAAAAATTATTTAAAATATATTTTACGGTTGAACATCTATATCTTGAAAACCATGGATATGTCAAAGTCAGATGGAAGTTTCTGAAATTTTACATAAGTTATAACTACCTCTTCCAGACTTTCCCTCATTCTTTTGACATGTTCACCCCCAGGGCCTATTAGTTTGCCTCTTTCTGCATAAGTTATTAACAGGATCCTTCTTGATTCTCTGTCAATGAAAGAGAAGTAAACAACAAAATAATCAAATAACTCAAGAAAAACTACACACTGATCTATAAAGCAGCTAAGTCTCTAATAAGACCATAGCTTGAGTGTTTCATTTTTAAAATAGTGAGAGAAAAGCTACAACTGGATTTGAAAAATGTATCAAAGATTCATTTACTTACTAGTAATTCTTTATGTATTAAAGATTTATTTACACAATGATTCATGTATTAAAAGTTTATTTAGTAATCAATGACAAATTCCTATAATCAAATTTGATTAGTCATCAGATTTTTGACATGAAATATAACATACCCCAACCTCAATTCTTCTTCAATCTGAAATAAAAAGAAATATTGTGTACAATTTATTCATGAAACTTGCATTGAACATCATGTAACTGATCAAACTTAATCTAATCTACATGAATACTCAATTTGATTGACATTAAATTTACATAACAACATACATACCCCATACATGTACGGTAGCATAATAAATTACATTTTCTTTTTTTTTAAGTACAAAAAAAACCCTGCTGTTTTGCGTTGACCATAAATCATTTTCAAAATTCTAATATCTGGTGTACTTGTTTGAGAAAACAATTAAAAAGATACAGTGTTAGCATATCAACAAGACACAAAAAATTCCAAGACTATTTCTTATAATTCATATTAACTACATGTACCTACATCAAAATTTTAAAAAAGTGATTAATTTTCAATGCATTAATTAATCTCTGTGACACCAAGTAGCAGTGAGATTGAACACACTTCCTGTGAACAACCTGTATACAGAGTTAAGATGTCATTACCATAGCAACAGCCTCCTGAACCAGTTCTTTGTTCTCACCAACCAATTCTAGGTTTGATGATCCATCTTTATTTGCTTTTGGGGGTAACTTCATGCCTATGCCTTTCTGATAATGAGAAAGATTTGATATTGTGATATACTAGAATGCCAGAATGTACATACGTATATTTACATCCACTGAATATTTTCTCCTTTATTTCTTAAGAAAACCCATTGCGTTAATCACTGCATGAACTACAATAGGCATGTCGCCTGTACAGATTTCTTGATCAGTAGCTATAAAGACGTTCGCATCATTAATACAATAATTAATCTTTTTAATCCTACTTTAAACGATTATTTAAACAGATTAAATATAAACAATAAAATGTCTTTCTTTGTTTGTTATTACTGGAATTAACGGTCGCAGCTATTGCAGAAAAAAATTACATAACTTGCATAAGCAGGTTATGTATTTTTTCTGCAACAGCTGCTTCCGTTAATTCCAGTGATAACAAACAAAGAAAAGTATTTTATTGTTTAAGTATACTGGTAATTTTGAAATTCATGAAATTTACTAAATTAATTATAACAACAAAGAAATGAGACAACTTACATGATTTCAATAAGCATTATATTTATGGACTTCTTATTTCAAAATAGCTTATTTTTAACTAGTACCGGAAAATTAATACACTCTACAGCAATTTTTTTTAATGTCCATTTCCAGTTTTGTAACTGAAGACCTTGAAATTGCCAAAATGACCACGGTTAAAAAAATTGAAAAGTGGTAAAAAACACATCCTTTGGTCATATAAGTAATCTTTAAGTGAGATACTGAAATCCAATGTTCTCTAATAGGAAGTTTTGGACATGATATGAATTTTACAACTTTTCTGCCATGTGACCTTGAACTTGCCAGAATGATCTTGGGTCAAGGTCAGAACACACCCTTTGGTCAAAATAAAATCTTTTTCCAAGGAAAAATTCTTCATTATAAAGTTGTCACTCAATCAAGACTACACACAAGACAAAAAGATTCTCATACCCCCCTTTTTTTAAAGAGGATATTATAATACTGATCTCAAATCTTATTCATTTAAAATGTTCAAAATTACAATGGATTTTAATTATTCTTTGGAACTGTAAATTAGTTTTAAAAAATATCTCCAAACTTCCTATTTTAATACTCTTAGAGCCCAATATCAGTGTTCAACTCGCCCATCTTTTGATTTTTGTCAACCCATTCACCTCATTCAGTGTTTTCTGTATCCTTGCAAAATTTTCACCACCTTTGCCAAGCAGTTTGCCCCGTTCTTCCCAGGATAATGTCAGAGTCTTTCTTTGTGGTGGTCTAAAATCAAGAAAAAACTCAAAATCCATTTGTACATGACTGCTTTTTCCTTAAATGGAAATCAACAAGTGTGTATACCATCACAATTCTTTTTAATAAGTTATGCTGTGTCACTGTAATTCTCCATTCTATGATGGGTTTTTTTTCTAAAAATTTAATTGAAATATGTTCATCACTTTTTTTCAGACAACGATGGATAGCAAACCTAACATGTGTGATCTCTACATCTGGTTCAGAAGGTATAAAAAATACATAAACATTTCCTTGTGTTTGCTTTTCAGCAGAGACGTTTGAATCATCTATTTTCTAACTGACCCTCATTATAGCACAAACTCAAAAATCAAAATTAGTTTCTCAGGGAAGATATAAATTTCGTATTGTACATTCATGTAAAAAAAAATTCTTTTACAATTAAAAGAAATGTTTTTAAGGTAGATATTTTCTAATGCCAAACATTCACAGAGTTAATTAAAAAAACACAAGATTAAAAACATTAACGATTCAATTTAATAAAAATTCACGTATACGTATATAATTTTCATTAAATACATGTAACAACATTCATATTGCATTCATATCAACAAATACTGATGCATACAAAAAGAAGAGATTAATTTTTAAAAATTGACATTAAATTTATTTTATACATTTATAAAAAAAAAATGCACTTATTTCTGTCATACAGACAAAGAGAGATAACTCTATTTCTCTTATTAACAAAAAAAATATCTCCTAGTGACATTAGAATAGAGAAATCATACATTTGAAACTTTAGGTACTCTTGTTGTATTAATTAATACTAAAATCATAAACTGAAAGAAAACTACAGTGACACAGACACAGACTGTTTCTTGTCTGAGAAATTAGCTTCAAGGGTAAATCCAAAAGCAATTTCAGTTCAGTTTATTACAGCTTAGACAATATTTACAAATATGTCCATTTGAGCATATATAACAGTAAATAATAAGAGTTTCAGTAATTTGTGCTATAGAGTCTTTCATAATTTTGTTTGTTTGTTCTAAACAGTGGTTAAAAGAGAAACAAATGGAGTAATGTCACAGAATCAGATCATCTCACTACTTACTGGGTTCTTGGTTTCAATTCGTGTATCGTCTCCTCCAGCTGAAACAAGAATTTATATACAATTTAAATAAAGGAAACTTGTAAATACAGACAAAGAAAAACCATAGTACAACCCTAAAACAATGTACAAAGGTCAAGTTAATCACAGTCAAGTTAATCACTGTCTTTACATAAATAGCATTGTCTGAACCTGAGCTTTAAAATGAAATTTGTTTAATGATATAAGAAATACCAAGTGTCGTTTTTCACTTAATAATGTTTACTATTTGTATACATTTATTTGTCCCGTTTTACTAACTGCAGCAAATATTTGTATAACAGGTCATCGTGACATTACCATGGTGATGGCCTCTTGGACTTTCTCTTTGCTCTCTCCAAATACTCGCACCTCAAATAATTTATCTTCCGATGCTTGAGAGGGTAAAATGACTTCTACACCTTTCTGGATAATATTTGGATAAAAAATATATATATTTTTGAAAACCTTTATCTTAATACACGTGTTAGCTAACTTTTAAAAATTAGACATTGCATCAGTGAACAAAGAGTTCAGATAAATCAGTTCAATACAATAGGCCTACTATAATTACTGGTTAAACAAAAGTCAAGGTGATATTTTAAAAGAACCCCTTTTAAACAAAAAAGAAGTTATTTGCCGTTTGCTTTATTTCACAAAAATTATATAGTAAAAATGATTAAATTGAAAGTGTTTTAAATAATGTTTTCACTGATTGCAAAATTTGCAAAATTACTGAAAAATCACATTTTCGTGGGGTCAAATATTCGTGATTTGAGGAAAAGCTCTTTTGTGGATAAAGAATTGTTGAGTAGTTATGTTTGTATCATTTTGTATTTCGTGGTGGACATGAATACTTGGGTCTCTTCATACCTCGTAAACAACAAAAATTAAACCCCAACAAAAAAATGTGATTTCACATTATACCCCCATGCAAAATTCAAATGTTTAACACTTAATTTTTCAACATGATCGATTTCAAAACTTTGTAGTACATAAAATCATAGAAAATATTAGAGTACCGGTACATGTAAACACAAATAGTTAACAGAAATTGTTGACTGTATTTGGTTACTGACTTTCTGTTGTAAGAACTATACCTGTTTTAATTCGTCGCATATTTTCTTGATTTTGTCACCACCTTGACAGAACTATACCTGTTTTAATTCGTCCCGTATTTTCTTGATTTTGTCACCACCTTGACCAATCAGTCGGCCTCGGTCTTCCCATGATACAGAGAACGTATCTCGGTGTTTTCTACAGATAAAGAAAATAATATTTCTTTAGTGCCAATTAATTGCAAGAGCCAATAGAGGCAGTGTTTCCTTTTGAATTCCTGTTCACAAAAATGTCTTCATAAACAACAAAGTTTAAAATATAAACTGGGAGTTCATGCTAAAGGTTTTATAAATGTGTATGTGCTAGTAAATATTCATTTTAACTTATCTCATATCATTACCAACCATATAAATGTGGACTACTTAAAAAACAGATAGATCTGAATACTGAATAGTTGGAAGTAATTTTTTTCAACTGCTTTTTTAATATTTGCACTTCTAAAGAAATGGTGAATAATTCATAATTACATAAAAAGATTATTATTAACAACTTTATGATGTACATGTACTTTTATGCACAAATTCAATAAACCAATATTCAACAATAATTAATAAAAATCTTCAGTACCCTCGATCAATAGATGCTTTATGTCATAATCATAACTGTAGCTTTCACAAGTATTTTTCTTTCACAAGTACAGCTGTACTTATTTTCCAAAAATGGCCCTTTAACGTTAAATCGCGAGAACAATAATTCACGAGTGGACGGTTGATCAAGAGATTTTATATAGATTTCAGCACCATTAAAAAAATGTAAGCGAGTATTCTTATTTGGCAAATGGTGCTTCTCGCGAAATTAAATGACAATTAATTCTTCATGTATATTTAGGAATCTACATTAATTGACACTTTGAATATAAACAATCTCACTGTAATAATAGAAAATATTAGCTTATTGCTTACCTCAACTTCATGGTCTTTATTTTTTCTTCCACCTGAAATAAAAAATAACATAAAATCTGCCAAAATTTTGGTCATTGAAAAATACATGGCATATATACCAATTACATTGATTATAACAAATACTCGGTATAAACTTGATCAAATAAGAACTGTTAAATTTACAATGTGTTCCATGTTCATTCTCTCTCTTTGTGCAAATAAAGCAACAGAGTACCAGCTTTATGTACATTTTGATATCATTTAAATGTACATGTACCTATATGTAACAATAATGACAAATTTTGTCTAAAAAAAGGGGAGATGTTAACAAAGAAGTTCAAAAATGTACATCTTGTTACCGAATTCACTACTACTTTTCTAAGAGAGAGCAATCTTCAGAATTTTCTTCCTCTGTCCTTGAATTGTTAATTTAAATTTAACTTATAGAATATATGAATTACTAAACTTTATTATATCCCCCGCTTGAAAAATGGGAGGGTATACTGTAATCGGTATGTCCGTCTGTCCATCTGTCTGTTATGCTTTGGGCTACCCATCTCTTATCCGCAACTCCTCTTATACCACTGGGTGAAATTTAATGAAACTTTCACAGAATTTTTATTACAAATTGCCATTGTGCACCTCCTATTTTACTTTTTGATCCGACACATATTTTGGGTTTCCCAGCCAAAGCAAAACATGGACATTGCCATTATAACCATATGGGAGGTGGAGGGTATCATTTAGTGAGCTCATTGCTCACAGTATACCTCTAGTTTTAATTATGAACTTTGCTTTATATTCTTCACTCTACAGTTTGTTTCTTGCATGCACATTTCAAAGACATTAGCACCTTGCTACAGATTGTTTAAATTTCAAAATTAAACTGAAATGTTTTAATAAAGAATGCTGTGCCCTTACAAAGTTAACCACTTCATTGATGTCCTCTTCGTTGTATCCTATGATCTGGATATTTGTTTTTTCTCCCGTCATCTTCTTTGGGATATTTATATTTATTCCTCTCTGGGAAAAAACAACAAACAGATGGATAGCTGAACAGAGACAAAGATTAACAATATGACAGCTATTGGTTTCAATCTATAAAAATTCCCAATTTTCTACACCATAAAGAGAAAACAAATACAGTGAAACCTGTCTAATCCGACATGCACTGGGAGACAAATTCTGTGTCGGAATAGACAGGGTGTTGGATTGCACAATGTTAAAAATGCAGAAAAAAACAAAATGGGAAAGAAATTTAACGTCGGAATTCACAGTGTGTCGGATTATTCAGGTGTCGGATTAGACAGTTTTCACTGTAGTATCAAAAGAAAGGAGAAGTTTAATTCCATTATACTAGTACTGAAAATCACATTTTATTGGCAAGATCACTATTTTCGTGTAAATACGCGAGACTGTCCGCTCATGAACATTTCATTCTCACAAGTCATATATTAGTATAAGTAAGGATTATATAAAACAAAAACCATTGCTTGCAAAAATTTTGTCTCGCTTATAAATACCAAATACAGTGAAAACTGTAGACACCCGAATAATCCACACTGTGATTCCGTGAAAATTTTGTCTTATTTGAGTATTTACCTTGCTTTTAAAACTGTGCAATCCAACACCCTGTCTATTCCGACACAAAATTTGTCTCCCAGTGCATGTCGGATTAGACAGGTTTCACTGTACCTATCTCGAGAACAAAAGATTTCACGAAAATAAAGTGATCTACAGTGGTTGGGTTGTGGACTAACAGTGGACTTGCTCCTAAAACTTTAATAGTGAAACCAATGCTAACCGTGAGAGTAATGACATGACACTGACACTGGGGGTGTAGCATAAGTTCATCTTGTCTTTGTCAAGGAGATCTGAAATGCAGTTACACTATACCTCTGCAAACTGTTCCCTTATACTGGCTATTTGTTCACCTCGGGGACCAATCAAATATCTTGCTTCTTGCTGTGAAATTTCTAAAGTTTTCTTTTGGATACTCCTACAAGCTCAAGCATAAATGCACATTCATATAAAATTCACAAGTTTACATCAAAACTTACCAATTTTCATGACTTTATCACTAAACAAAAAAATCAAATGATTATTCAATTACCTTATTTTTTCCAATCTTTCTTTAATCTGAAATATAAATCACAGAATTATATATATATATATATATATATATATATATATATATATATATATATATATATATATATATATATATATATATATATATATCAGATCATAAGTATTCTTCAACCCTATTTTAGAAATTTTTTTTGCATTTAGAATTATTATTGTTGACAATTGAAAGATACCATCTGGTACTTTATTCACATGAATTTCTCATTATTTCAAATGTACATTACCATAGCAACAGCACTGTCCACATCCTCCTTATTTGTAGACTCTATGACAAAACACTTTGGAGTGACATGTTTTGGTATACTGATCCTAACTTCTGACCCCATCTACAGATAAAAAAAATTCGTCTATATCAAATTCGAATTCATTAACAAGAGCATCGTCTCAAGCCACAGTCCAGAGTCCGCATATAGCTCTCTCCTACCCGTGCCTGCTTGGTCACTAAAAGTGTCGCAGTCTTGAATATTTACGCCTCTCTATTGTGACATCATATTCAGTCAATGACAATTTTTGTTTCCATCGCAATTGAAATCAACAATTGACATCAGCAGTATACAAGAAATATTTCGTACACTGTGATTGGGTATTGGAAGGTCGCATCAAAGTTCATTATCTGACTATGCTTTACTCGCATTGGTCAATATTTTAATGAGCAATAAAATATTTTCTTCTTGTTCAACCACAGCCAGAATGGGAGAGGATCATACATTTTGGTTGTGGTTTGCGACAATGAAACAAGAGATACATAAAATTTTATTTTATTTTGTCATAAAGCTGATTCCACCTACAAAATTCAAGATCCCCCACTGTTCCTTACCTCCTGTAATTTCTGTTGAATTTGTTTGATATTTTCCCCTCCCTTCCCTATCACAGATCCAGCTTCTTCATCAGATACTTTTATTGTCTTGGTTATAATTCTATTAAAGTATAAACCATAAATTGAGTATTAACTAGACAAACAGATTGTCATTGAAAGATCACTAAAATAAAATGTTTGTTGTATTTGACCCTCATAAGGAGATCATAAATACCTTAGTTTCTCCAATTCTTTATTTATCTGAAAATACCAAAAGAAAAGCTATATAAATTGCTATATACCAATTACATTTATTTTGACAAATTTGATTAAAATTGGCCCTAAGTTTATGAAGAAGGAGGTGCATATTTTATGATGATGGCAATGTTTAAGTTAAATCATGCTCTTGAATAAACCATGAAAACTTACAACTTCCATAGCTTTATCCAGATTTTCTTCATCTTCTGCCTCAACCAACCATTCTTTTCCTTCAAGTATACCAGCATTCATCTAAAAAAAAAGTGGAATTTTTTTTTTTATATTATTTCCTCTCATCCTCCTTTTCCAGTGCAAAAACTTAAATTTAAAAACTTTGACTTGTATATTTTAAATAATTTCAAATTGTAGTTTATCTTGATATGAAACTGATGATTCTCTCCAAGAATATGTGCATTTGCTGACATTTTTGCTTGACTTTGGGGAGATAACACCAAATTCTAAGGCTTACATTTTCAAAATTCAGTTAAAGACGTTTCATCAAAGGCGCATAAACAGGTATAAAGCCTTTTGTTCATAAACTGTTTTCAAATCTTTTTTTTTTTTTTTGGAAGTTCAAACATTCATATGCATTTTTCTTTTTTCTTTTTGTTTTTTTTTTGATTTAGAGTAAGAAGTTATGGAATAATATTAACCCAGTTTGATTGACAAATGCACTTCTTACCAGATTTGCATGTATAAAATATTTGAATTAAAGTCTGAAGAATTATTTTGTAATTGTATTCGTAACCTTTGCAGATTTTTTTCTTTCCATCAAATTTTGCAAAAAACATTCAACTGCAGAAAATACCCTTTATACCGTATATTCCAGAGTAATGGATACCATATATCAGATTTTGTTTGTGATGATCTATTTTTCACTATTTTTTGTCATCATAATCAATTCTTAGAAACTAAACAACACAGAAATAATGTCTGTTTTTGAATGTCATAAAAATATATTTATATCCACTGAATATTTTCTCCTTTACTTCTTAAAAAAAACCCATTGCGTTAATCACTGCATGAACTACAGTAGCCATGTCGCCTGTACTGATTTCTTGATCAGTGGCTGTTCCATCAATGAAACTTATAAAGACGTTCGCATCATTAATACAATAATTAATCTTTTTAATCCGACTTTAAATGATTATTTAAACAGCTATAAATATAAACAATAAAATGTCTTTCTTTGTTTGTTATTACTGGAATTAATGGTCGCAGCTATTGCAGAAAAAATTTACATAACCCACTTATGTGGGTTATGTATTTTTTCTGCAACAGCTGCTTCCTTTAATTCCAGTAATAACAAACAAAGAAAGCATTTTATTGTTTAAATTATTACTTTTAAATTGCAAAAAAGAACTTATGCAAAATAACAAAGGAACAACTTTACCCTTTTTTGCAAAGTTTGCAATGCGCAAAAAAAAAAAAGCAAAAAACAAAAAAAAACAGTATATTAAAGGTTAAAACCTTTTCTGGACAAGGTTAAACTTACGGGGTATGACTAACCTGTTTGAGATTTTCTCTGATCCTTCTTATATTGTTTCCATCTTTACCAATTAACCTGAACTTCTCATTTGAAGTTAGATTGATTTTCCTTTTAGGGTACCTGTTTTTTGTTTAATTAGAATCTTCATGAATAATTCAAAAGTGTACATATATATGGTGCAATTTTGAAAATTAATAAATTGTGAGTACACAAGGCGATAAAAATGAAATTTAATTTGAAAAATTTATACATGGATTTGTAGATGTACATATCAAATCCTGTATCAATGCAAAACAATGACAAAAATATTTACAATGTATATTTATAATAAATCTGAAGCATCAGAAGGTCAAAGGTTTTCATACATGCAATGAAAAATGTGGATAAATTCTTTTCCTATGTCTTTGCTCTAAATAGCATTATCTCAATTTGATGATACAAAAACAAACTTACTTGCTCCTTTCCATAACTTTTTGTATCTGAAACGTAAAAAATACACAGTAGGATGATTACATTACAAACTATTATCTTGGACTTAATAACTTTGGACTATCAAGTTTTGACTGTGTTCAAAAACACCAATCTGGCCACATTTCTTCCTCTGCACTATTCTTTGATATTGTAAACATTATACACCTCTCATATATTTCTTGTCCTCTTAAAAGTTCCATTTTTGATATCAGAAGATTGATTGATTGATTTTCTATTGTCTTACATCCCATTTCAGAGTTCTTATTCCTTTAGAAATGAAATTACATGTATCAATGGAGGGCTTTAAATTTAGACCTATACTTGGCACTCAGGGCTATTGAGCAGTGAGGGATCTTTATTATGCCAAAGCTTACAATGACGTGGGACCTCTGTTTTTAAGGTCTTATCTGAAAAATCTTCACTTCTAATACTGGGTGCTTGGCAAAGAAACAGTAATGAAATATGTTATATCTTAGGATTGATGTTGCATAGTGAATGGGAATTGAACCCAGGCTTCCTGATCCCAAAGCAAACACTCTACCACTAGGCTACTGTGACCAGTAAGTACCAGAAGAAAGGAGAGGTTTAATTCAAGCATGGTTCGTAGATTAAACAACCATGTATTTCAATGAACATAACACAGCTGATACTCCCTATGTAAGTCCTGTCCTTTACCTTTTCTTTAGCTGTCTCCAGTTCCTGCAGATTTTTGGCCTGTATAGTTACCAAAGCTTCCTGACGGGAATTATTAAACCTCACAGATATCTTTGTCCCTGTCTAGTAAGGAAAATGAATGCATTAAATTAATTTGTTATGCCTTTAAAGATTTTTCAATAATCTTAGTATTTTCATCGATGTACATGTACTGCATACATGTATGCAGAGATGTACATTTTATCTCAGATTAATTCATGCTGTACATGGTCAAATTTTTTCACAGCAATTTGTTACAGCATTCATTGAGTGCATTTTTACATTAAGGTAGTAATTCACAAAAGTTTTAACCCAAAGGGAGACAAACAGTTTTTATTCCTCTCCTGAAATGAATTTCCAAACACAAGAATATTCGTGTGAGGGAAAAAATATCATTTTGAATAATTCACCGCATTTTCCAGATCTCGTCTGTGTAAGCCCTTTCTCCCCATGATAATACGTCCCTCCTGTTGACTCACAGTCATTTCCTCACTCTCACTGTAAACACAATAATTCAGATAATGTAAATCACTTTTTATTCAAGAGAACTTTATTTTCACATAATATATCTAGAGCAAAAACCAACATTTGCGAAAATTTTGTCTCGCCAATAAAGAGTTGATGGCAATCTCACGAAAATAAGGTGTCGCGAATATTCAGTGATCTACAGATAGATTTACTGGAGAATTACTAGTTATGGACAGGTTAGAGCATTCCTTAATATTATATAATATAAAATTATGAGCAAATACCACAATTTGAATCAAATTCTTATTCTTGAAAATTTTGTTTAAAACAAAATCACCAATAAAGAGTGTGTTTATGGCAATCTCACGAATTAGTTTGTATTGTTGAAAGGACACATTTTTTAAGTAACACACATGGATCCCTTGTTTATGTATATTTTAAAATCATTATCAGTGATCTTTTAATGTTTGTCATTAGATAGTATTGCTATAAATCTGGTTTATCAGAACTTTGGTACTTAGTTATGGACATATTTTGGTTAAGAAAATAAGTGATAAAAAAAAACTTCTGTGTGAATATTTTTTTTTTTAAATGTCAAGTCTTTGACTCAAAGAAAGAAACAAATGTAGGTATTTGTTTGTAACAGTGTCACTATAAGAAATGACATTTGATGAGTCACACCAAATGTAACCTGACTCTATTGAGGAAAATAGCTTACCTTAAATTATTTGCAATAAGGCTCTGTATCTGTTAAAGCAAGAAAATAACTGGATGGATTAAGTATACTAAGTGAAAAAAATTAAAACCAAAAAATATATAAAATATGATTATATGTAAAATAAATATTAACTAAAATAATAATTACAATTGGGAAACACATGAGAAACTGAATAATGCGGGATGATCGTTAAGAGCAGTTGCCATTGTTCTGTTTATTTATAAAATATTACGAAACTGAAAAATGCTCATTGGTTAAGAAATTAATAAGATCAGGAACTTAAAATTGTTGTTGATAACCATGAGCAGTTGAGAGAACTTTTAACACTGTTCTGTTTATTTATAAAATATCTTATATGTAAATAACTATAACAAAGTTGTTTTAACCTACTTTTTCCATTGCTTCTTTGAGATGTTCCTCTTCCGCAGCAGATACAGTTACAAGAATTCCATGTTCATTTTCCATGTCATGCCTGACCTTGATTTGTGAGGCAGTCTGTGAAAACAAAATAATAATATTTATAGTTTTTCAGGACACCAAGGTCATGGCTGAATAGAGGCAGTTTCTTTTTGGACACGAGGTCTTTTTCCCAAAATTGACTTTATTTTTCCAGTTGTTTTTCAGTTTTCATAAACATTGAAAAAAGAAATCCAAAAATTATGTAAAACGCTGCTTTTAAATGAGTTAAAAATACTGGTTGTATATTGTTAATGGCAATGAAATGTGAAAAGTTTATAATTATGAATAATGATATCGTAAAGAATTTTTAGACTTATGAGATTTATAAAAAGCTTTAGAACTGCGTAAGTTTCATTTCAACAAAGGTACCTCATTCTGTATTTCTCTCAACAAAGAACTACTTCTTGCAGTTAGTTGATCTGCACATTCCTTGGGAATGAAGAGTAACTCCTCTGGCCTAAAAAAAAAATGAAAAGTCAAAGAATTGTTACCAACAGAACAAGATATAATTATGTACAAAAATCCAACAAGCCTACCTGACTAAGTGTGTAATATAAATTAGGTGTTAAAACTACATGTACAAGAAATGCAGGTAGAATTACAGAAATAATCTTAAATAGAAATCAAAAGGAAATAGTAAAACTTTAAAAGTCACAGATTCAGTAAGACTGTTTCATATCTCAAATATTAAACTATGGAAATGTGTGTAATTTATTGGATGCAAAACACTATTTCCATTCATTACTAAAATCACCATGAGTTCATATACATCCCCCGGTAAATTTTGGATAATTATTTCAAGATCCACCCCACCATATTCTTACCTGTCCAAAACTGGAAGATTCTCTTTTGTTTTCTCTATGTGTTTTTGTAAGACTCTCTCTATCTGATTAGTTAAAAAAACAATATAAAGATCACTGAACATGCTCAAAGACAACAATAATCAATTACCGGTAGATAATGTTTTAAAACCTGTGATTAAAATTTATAATAGTTAGAATGTTGTTTTATTTAAAAAGAGCATGATTATTCAAAAACCACCAAGCTCTGCTCGACGTCATAAAAAGTCCAACACTGAATGCTCTCCAATAGCATTTATTATTTGACTTAAGTCAGTTGTTGCAACCAAATCAAATATACCAAACTCAATTTCAGTATCTCGAAACCTTGGATATCACAAAATATATAATATCTAAATGGTACCGTAGTGTAATAAAGTAAATTAAACCCTGACTGTACCTCAAACATAGTAAATTAAACCCTGACTGTACCTCAAACATAGTAAATTAAACCCTGACTGTACCTCAAACATAGTAAATTAAACCCTGACTGTACCTCAAACATAGTAAATTAAACCCTGACTGTACCTCAAACATGGTAAATTAAACCCTGACTGTACCTCAAACATAGTAAATTAAACCCTGACTGTACCTCAAATATAGAAAATTAAACCCTGACTGTACCTCAAACATTATATAAATATTGCATGTAGTTGAGTGTAACTTTGAAAATTTTCACCCCAAGAAAACCATTGTCAACCGAGGCGCAGCCGAGGTTGACAATGGTTTTCGAGGGGTGAAAATTTTCAATGTTACACTCAACTACATGTAATATTTATTATATTATACTGAATGTTTTATACAAATACATATAACAGTGAACCGTGCGCGCATAAATTCTGCGCAGTCGCTATTTTTTGGAATACCACCCATAGTCAAGCAATGCTGGAGGGCATGGCTTCATTATTCAGCGGGTAGTAGTGTTTTTACACAAATGTTTCTCGACCAATCAGATTCAACCAATTTTACATGAAGTATAATATAGTAAATTAAACCCTGACTGTACCTCAAACATAGCAGGGTCCGACACTCATCAAAATTTGATCTCGCCATTTGGGCAACCTTGGTATGATTACAGGTTGCCCGAATGAATTTCAGGTCGTCCAAATAAAATATCAAATGAAACAAAAGTTAACTTAAAGTGTAATTGTTTAAAATTTGTTAAGATAATTAAAAGAAGTTGTGTTTTTTGTATTAAAAAATGTTAACTAGACATTTTTGCAATGTGAAAATGTATTCTAGTATTTTATCAAACAAAAATATAAGCAGAATCAGACATGCAGAATGCTAAAGTTTGTAGCTTAAAACATTCATTTTCACTTGCCATAAAGGCCTAAATAAATAGGGTCAAATAACCCTGGACTGAATTAATCAGGTGTTATATTACAGTGGACACCCAACATTGCTGTCTAGCAGCAGAATACGATCATCAGATGATCAGAAAGTTGTAGGGGAATGCAAGATGTTACAATGATCATTATTATTACTATTTATATTTAAGGTGATTGTTGACTAAGTTGGCATATTTTATATCTCAAATAAGACTTTATGAAAGACTTCCATAGCTAAATTATGCAAATTTGAACATGTTGAATGGGTTGGTTTTGAAACAGGAAAATATGTTTTCAAGGTCTTTTGAAGTTTATTTTAAAAAATTAAACATCATTAAAATATTCCCAACTTGTCCCAGGTCGTCATTTGGGCGAGCCAGACTGAAAATCAGGTCGTCCGAAATCATTTCTGGGTGGAAATGACGAGGTGACGAGCGCGAATGTCGAAACCTGCATAGTACATTAAACCCTGACTGTACCTCAAACATAGTAAATTAAACCCTGACTGTACCTCAAACATAGTAAATTAAACCCTGACTGTACCTCAAACATAGTAAATTAAACCCTGACTGTACCTCAAACATAGTAAATTAAACCCTACTGTACCTCAAACATGGCTTGTTTAATGTTCTCCAGACTGGCACCTGTGATGAGGACTGGGACTTTTTCTCCCTCAGCTTCCTCTGGGTCCAGTTGAAGAACTGCACTAGTCTATTAATAATAAATGGTGAACACTTGTATTTTAAAAAAAAAAAAACTCTTGCCTTCAGTTACATTAAGGGAATGCAGTATTAATTCTTTGATATCAATAATATTGCTGAAAAAATTAAAGCCTATCTTTCTTTTAAAAGTTATGAATACTTTTAAACAAGTATTGTCACAGACACTTTAACATACTAATTAACTTAAATGATCTGACAGTTTCAAATCTTTACTCACTTTTTTGGTTATTTGATCACTCTGTTGAGAAAGAGCATGAGCCGAGGTCTTAGGAAGCAGAATTGTCTTCTTGGCCACATTTCTGAAAATAGTTTTCAAACTAAAATTTGTAGGAAGTTATCATGGAATGATATGGGTTTAATTCTGGATTCTATGCCTCCAATATGATGATCACTGGGAAAAAAAAACTCTAGCTAAAATTGTGTATATGGAAAACTATCTATGATATCACTTTTTGTGGATCCATAATTGGTCAATGAATTCAATACTGATGCAGTGAAAAATTAAAAAGAAAACATCTAAATATTAACTGACTTTTTGTCTTCTGTGGTAGAGGATGCTGGTGGATTGTCAGATGAAGAATTCTTTGAGTAAAGTCTTAGGGAGGAACAAACTGGTGTCACAACATCCCTCCCAAGTAAGGAACTCTGTTGACTACAAGTGCAAACATTTCACGATTAAATCAAGGGAATTAGGAATATTATGATTTATTTGGGCTCTGAATGTTCAATCTCATTGGAAAAACACTTTCCTTATTTTACAGATAGTAAGAGTCAAGTACATTGTGTATTGTGATACTGACGGTGACCATTATGCAGGTCCAGTACAATCTCTTGATTGAGCTATAAAGCTTTAAATAGCTATATAGCTTTATCAAGCAATTCAAAATAGCTTTATTTAGCTATTTATAAACAGTTTTTCACAAAAATGTTTTTGCTGAAAATAAACAAAAGGTCGCATGTATTTGACTCTTCATACATGTACTATGGACTATTAAAACAACAACCAAAATCAAAGATAGTTCGAACTTTGCAGCTTTTGAATACTTTTAAGCAAAAAGAGAATTTCTATTGTTAGACTAACTGTCCACTATCTTGGGTGTCTTGAGGCAAGGAAAAGTATGATTGCTTCTCATTGTGCTGAACTGTTACTAATCAATTAATTGGTCTCCATTATAATATCATTGCAGAAGTAACCAGGGGTTTTCCTACCATTTTTCAACTGGGTCCGGGGTCCGTAGAATTGGGAAAATTGACGCGAAAACTGTTCAAATTGGGAAAATTTTAAAAGGACCAATTTTGTTATTTCCCCAAATCAATGAAAATGAAGGGACCAAAAAGTGTCTGTGTTACAATAGAGTAAACAACTGTAGACAGATATAAAGAGTCACACATTATTCAGCTGTTGTTGGATGATAAAAAAAATGCCAAAAAAAAAATGCTATATATTTTGGCTTACGTAAAAGAAAAATATATAAATTGCCATAATATTTTTTAATTGGATGATGAAAAATTCCAGAAAAAAATATTATTTAGTTTTATTGATTCATGACTGAAGTAAGGAAAAAAGTTTAAGTGATTAATTGGATAAAGGTGATTTCAGAAAATTTTTTTTGTTAATATATATTCCATTTGTGACTAAGAATAATTTAAGTGAACATAATTTTTTCTTGTTGTATATTAAAAAAAAATACAGGAAAACACTGTTTAGTTTTACTTTACATTCATGACTGGAGTAAAAGATTTATAAATTTAAAAAAAATATTTGGAAATAAAATTTTGGAAATTAATTGTTATCTATATTGATTTTACTTTGAAGTAACATTAATCATATAAATATAACAAATCTTTGAATAGGCCCATGTTGGAAGATAGAAAAGTAGGATGACAGGATTTTTGCGTTTAGGCAAATTAGTCACACCCTTTCTATTTTTAGAAATTAGATCATGCAAGGAAGTGCACAGTAACTTTTGTGCAAGATCACTGAAAACTTTCATGATAGATGCAATTCTTTTATGATCATTATAGGATTTAGGTGACTTGAATGAAACAAGTGATGTAAATTGTAATAATAACTAGTCACTAAACATCGTAGGTGATTTACCAAATGCGTTGCATCACTTAAATTTATAGCTCGATGATACGATCACACGTTGATACCTGTGGAGATTTTCAGACGTTTTGCAGGGAAGCAAAATTAATATCTTACTTTGTTCTGAACTCACTTAAATTTTTATCAAGGATACAAAATTGGGAAAAAAAGATTCAGAATTGGGAAAATATTGCTGATTTTTTGATTGGGAATGGGTCCGGTAAACGGACCCCAAAACAAGCCAGGAAAACCCCTGGTAACTGTATCAATTGCTTTATATAGCCCCAAAACTTGTAGAACTTTGAGTACAAAGTCTCTCAAGGAGACGTAATTTGATGAGTGATTTTTAATTTTTTACATGAATTATTTTAAGAGGAGTTCAAAGTTGTATTTCATCACTGCACCAAGGTGCGCTTTTGAGTACATACTGAGAAAATTACACCTTAAGAAAAAAGTGTAGTAAAATAGCTAAAGTAAGCTATACTGAATAGCTTAATAAAGCTATATAGCTATTAAAACCTATATAGCTAAATCAAGAGATTGTATTGGACCTGTTATGTATCATGTAAAGGGAGGTTCATGACCTCTAAAGTATTTGTACGAGTCAATGAACAATTAATTAATGCGTATATAAATAAATATCAGGAAGACACAAATAAAAAAAAAGATTATCGTGAATGCAATTCACTTTGCAAATACAGTAAGCCACAATATTTCAAGGTGCCTTGAATTTCACGTGTGTGTGTTTACAATCTCGAATTTCCTCATCATTTATATAAATCAGTTGTTATCTGCGATAAAATATAATAAACTATTTAATCATCCTTGAACAAAATAACAAAATCACACATAAAAACAAAAAACAAACCTCTCATAACATACCTATTCAAAACAACGTAGAATTTTTGCAGTTTTTGATAATGCATTCGGCGAAGGATGTAGGTCGCCATTTTACTTTTTGCTTAACTCGCGCGTTATTTATTCGTAAATAATGCAGAACAAAGTTTAGAGCATAAAAAAAATCCCTACAATATTTTGGCATGACTTTAAATCATAAATGTTATCATGATAAATGATGTTTTCAACGAATGTAACATGAAAGAATGGAAGGATAGGTGAAAGGGGGGGGGGGTTGGGTTAAGATACTAAGAAATAACGAACAATAAATGATAGGTTGTGGTTGTTTCGTCCCCAAGGCCCCCTAATCATTCGCTTTACCGGAAAACATTGAGCGAATGAGTGCAAGTTATCTATTCAATATCAAAAGACGATAAAACAATACAGAATAGGAGCAGAGCAAACAAATTAAACATCAGAGATGGGATCAGGTGCTATGGAGGAATGAGCATCCCCTGCCGACCGGTCACACCCGCCGTGTGCTCCTTGTCATGAACGGGAAATAACGTGAAAATCCTTCGTCAATTCAGTGTATAAAATTGGACTAACAATAAGTTGATGAAAAACGTCAGTTAGCATTTGACACAATGATAAAATTGTATACTAGTATTTGCTGACAAGGTCATTGTATCGACCATAGAACTTACGTCGATATGACAACCTTAAACGTGCTGATATTCTTGTTTCATCAACTTGTTTGTCAATAATTTACCTCGTAGGAGCAGCTGAAATTCGTTGTTCCTTAACTTAACATTTTAGCACTCTACTGATATCATAGGTACATGGAGTAGCTGTTATGCACCATGTATACTTGTATACTATGTATACTATGTTATATACCATGTATACTAGGAAATATTTTTCTGATATTATGTTTTTGATTAGTTTTTTGAAAGGACCAGTATGCTCCAGTCTCTTTTTCAGTACAGAAAATGGGCAACCATAAGCAAAAATTTAAACTAACGTTAGAAATGTAGGAGAAATCTGTTATAAAAAGTCAACTTTAAAAAAAAAATAGGGGGGGGGGGGCATTTTTTTATTTTCTTATACGAAAGTCTCTCAAATGAGGCTGGTACTGTAACGTTTTTACAAAGAACAAATGATTATCTATTGGGTCCGCTTAGGATTCCTTCCTAAGAATCACGTTTATATCGAATTAAAACAAACTTCAATAACAATGGCAAACAACTGACTGAAATTCACTACATACGTATATACTTTCTCCTTGGTCCTATCTGGATAATGATTAATTAACAAACTTGATAAAAAGGAACTAAAACAACAGAATCACTAAGAATCAAGCAAATAATCAAATATAAAACCTATCTCTGTAGCTGCAGACTGAGTGGTATAACGAACAGTTCTGTTGTTTCCCGACACAGTCTGCAACTCCCCTAAACACATCCTAATAATCACAAAGTAACATTATCATTAAGACACACAAATACGAGCTAAAGTCACCAAGACACCATAGCTTTTAATAGGACACGACTTTTGGTTAGACACAAGCTAAAGTCTCCGAGACACCATAGCTAGTCACAAAGACACTAGGGAACTGGGTTCCTGGGCTGAATGGCCTAACTAACAATTCTGTTGTTTCCCGACATAGCCCAGGTCCCCTTCCCAAGTCACCTAACTCAACAAAGAGTTACACCAAAAGTAAACGAAACAAGATTGATCCTTGTATTTATACTATTTCTCCTATGCCTAATTGCTACTCATTGGTTAATAAATTCTAATGATTTGGTTGGCTAAAATATCAACTCTGATTGGATACACATAATATGATTTGATTGGGTGATTTAAAAACCTATTTCAATCCACTTTACTAATTCTGATTTATTACAGTACAAAATACTCAGTGCACACATATATATTCATGAAAAAAAAATTATGGATAGAAAACATAATAAATTTGAGTTATTTTTCTTTTTACGTTATTTTTTTTCAAATCTATATGAAAATAACATCTGTTACAGAAGCAATAGGATTCTGGATGTTTACTCTATCCAGTTGCTATGTGCATAATTAATCGTAGAACTAGATTCGATACAATTATTTGCCAACCAATTTTTTGCAGTAATCTTTCAAATACTACAAGTAACAGCGGATACATGCAAGTCTACAACATTTTAAAAGATCTCTTACACATATCAAGACACGCACAAAAAAGATGACGGATTGGTATTAATTTTTGGTATACATTTTTGTGACCTACCTGTATTTTAAATTGTAGACTTTCAATGGTATTCAAAATTCTACCATTTCGCCATTCTTAAGGTACTCCAGTCCTCAGTAATGACAAGAAGAATAACTCCTTGTTGTCCCCCGCTTGAAAAGTGGGGGATATTAATTTGGGTTTGTCCGTCCGTCTGTCCGTCCGTCTTTCTGTCTGTCTGTAACGCTTTCGTTTCCACACGATATCTCGAGAACCCTTTGAGCTTTTGCAATGAAATTTAGCATAGCAACTCCCTATGGACTAAAAAAGACCCCTATTGATTTTGAGGTCAAAGCGTCATAGATCAAGGTCATAAATTCGCAAATTCTGCCTGTTATAACACTTTTGTTTCCACACGATATCTTTTGAGCTATTGCAATGACATTTTATATAACAACTCCCTGTGGCCTAATGAAGACCCCTATTGATTTGAGGTCAAAAGGTCAAAGTTCAAGGTTGTAAATTTATACATTCTGTCTGTATGTAATACTATCATTTCCAGGCGATATTTCAAGAAGATTTTGAGCTTATGCAATGTAATTTTATACCAAAACTCCCTAGGACGTCTCTCGCCCCTCTCAAAGTGCCCCGCCCCGTTTGTTTATTAGTATTTATAGTATTACATGGCGCTATTTTTAGCGCAGGGGCATGAGGAGAGTTATTGCGTATAAAACAGGTTCTCGGCGGACTTTATGTTCTTACTACATCTATTAGAACTGTTTAATAAAGGCTAAATAAATCAAACACCATGGATTGTGTAAAATTTTGAGAAAACTGAACATGAAAACATGAATATATACATGTATGTGACTTCAGTTCTGCATATACTTCTCTCTGTACAAAGCGACTCCGTGCTCTAGTGGTTATGTCTCTCGCCTCAAATGTGATAGGTCCCGGGATCGAATCTCGGTCGAACCTTTCTTTTTTTTTCTTTTTTTTTTTTTTTAAATACTTTTATTTTTTTTTACTAAATGATAGTATTGAGCATGTGAAATGAAAAATTTATGAGGTTATAAAATCATCATTACAGTGTGATAAATATTCCATATAAAAAAATCTTCTATACACATAATAAAGAATAAGCAATCAAATCTTTGTATGAATATTGACATACATGTATTTTATTTCCTTCAGTATACATTTAATAATTCTACAAATTCAGTCAGGGGGAGCCGAATTCTTCCCTAAGCGGGGGACACGAATTCTCTGAATTAGCTTGTTTTATAATTTTATTCAAAGAGTCTCAAAATGATGGAAGCTTGAAAATTAAATCTTTCCATACAACGATTTTCATTTAATACCTCCGAATGCTCTTCAAGGTTCTTTGATGTTCCTAGAAAGGTCTTACAAAAAGCTGAAATTTTTACCTCCATATAAGTATTTTAAAATTACATATTTAAAGAAATTGAGGTTCGTTTTAATCTAACCATAGATACCAATGTTATTAACATAAAATGAAATTAGAAGTGATTTAATATGGTGTTTTCCAACGATAGGGGGAAATACTTATACAGTATGCAATGTAAAATGTACTATGTTCATAGAAAAAGGTAAAGTACCTTATATATGTTTGAAAATTGTGCCGTATCTTCAAAAGCCTGGATTCCTATATGATGTTTATTTCTAAAATGTGTTTGTTTATCAAATTTGAACTAGAAGTGCATAATAGATGTTTTTATTCTCATTGGAGATTTACTAATTTTCCCTGTATATGATATGATTAACTAAGATGAAGTTTAAAGAATTATTGTGGGTAAAACTACTTTGAGAATTCATAGACACTTTTGTGAGCATTTTTAATTAGTCAATGTCCGATTTTGATACTGAGGATCAAAGTACCTTAATCTATACAGATTTTTGCCACTTGATAATGCCCTATAGTAATCGAAGATTCGGATACATAGTTTTTTCTCTTGTTTGTCCATCAGACTATCTGTATGTATATATCCCTCGTCTGTTTGCCAGTCCACATAAACTTTAACCTTGCCAATAACTTTTGATTAATGAAACCTAAGGCTCTTTACTTTTACCTGTCAATTCCTTGAATCAAGACCTTTCCTTGAGTACTTACTTTTTTGACCTTCACTTCTTAGTTTGATCCACTTTGCAAAGTTTTTAGCAATTTATTGAACATTGTGATAATCTTTGAACTATCATCGCTAGTGCTTTCGTGCATCAAAATAACTTGACAGTATTTTTTAACCAAAGACCTTAATGACTGATAAGCTTGGTATGTATATGTCCTAGTTACGCCACTCGATGTACTATTTCCCAAGCATTCGAATCGACTCCAACATTCTGATGTTTTGTCAACTACAAATCTCTTTGTTTGGACATGCAGAACTGATGTTCATATTGATATTTATCAACATGCCGCATATCTGCATATTCAATGTCACTCTTATTATTTCTGGCGAATGTACTGATTAACAGATGTTATTATTATGACACATGCATATTTGACTGCATGCCTGTGTAGGAATTGTAGAACACAAGGGCGCGGTGTTCCATCAGCAATATATCATGTATATTGATATCGACTGCTCATCTTCACCAATATTCAAAAATATGCATCCTATTTACTTTCACTTTGATTCTATCAATTCTGCCACCCACTGTTGCCGTCTTTGAATTGGAAGCGCAGTTACGTCATAGGCGCACGAAGAAGATTTGTGATTGTTGCAATTGCTGCAGTATAAAATATATATTGGAATATCAAGGTTTTGTTAGAATGCTGATTGTTTTTATATAGACAGTTCAATGAAATTTACTTATATGTTTTATTTTATATTTAAATTAATAAATGGAATGAGAGTCTGATTATTGAGCACCTTTACACTATATACATGTAATACTGTAAACTTAATGTTTTATAGCATTATAAAAATAAAATAAAAGAACAGTATTAAATTAAAATTTACAGCAAAATGAAACTATATCAGAAAAGTGGTTATTTGAGGCATACACTTTGTTACTGGAAGGGAAGGATATAAGATTTATTGGTTAAGATTTGCTCACAGAATAATATTTAAGACTATAAAAAGACTTCCTTTCAAAAGAAATGTCTTTGAAAGTCTTAAATGATTAGATAACTAGTTGTCACATGTTTCTGTTTATTTTGCTTCCCATGTTTGCTTTCATACTTGAAAGCATTAATCAAAGAACAAAACATTTTTTTCTGGTAAACTTGAACCATCTAAATTGTTAAGCTGTATTGTGTGTGAACCCATTATTGGTGCTAGAAACCCATAGCTACGATTCCAAGTCTCTTTTAATTAACCACACGTGCATTGGACGCGCAAAGTTCTAGAGAGCTCAGTAATGCACTCGCAGCTAGTCGATTGGAAAAATCCCAAGAAGCGTTTTGTATGGTCTCTGTCAAAACGAACATCACATGGCTTTTGTTTTTAAGAGGTTCTGATAAGTCATAAGTGGAGGGGAATTTCAATTATTTGATACCGTCAGTCATTATCTTGTCAATGCCATGTGAAGGTATATCTCTCACCTGGAAGTCTTCAGACCAATTTGTTTAAAGACTTCATGAATGTGTTGACCATCTTAACCATAGTTTACTTTTTATGAAGGCAATTTTTAAAATTGAACTGAATTAAAAAATGAAAATTCTGTACTTTTAGTTTTCTTTTTTAGCTCTTAATGATATCGACAAGTTCTTACTTAATAATCGAGTGTACTACGGGTGACCCCCTTTTTTCTAAATAATTATCTGTTTAGGGGGGGGTGCATGTTTTTTGATGAACATTATATAGATCAGAAAGACATGGAAAAGCATAGCTTAATTTTTTTTATTTAAAACGACAAATTATGCATTGTGATGTCGTCAGCTCTGCATGTATCTTAATTACAATGTATATAAATTCATGATTCGTAAGAATATATAATTCATGCATGTAGGACAAATGCCTAGAACACATGTAAGACATTTCAAGGCTGAGTACCAAACAAATAAATATCCATCGACGAAATTGTTTTTTCCCCATTTACATCAATGAAATGGCAATAACACTGGCACAACTATAAAGTAACAAATTACGGCCATTAAAAACACGGAATTCATCAACTCTTCCAGGTATATTTTCATCTCCATCAAAGCACGTGCCAATGAAATAAGTCGATATCACAAAATATACCATTTTTTTTTACAACGTATGAAAATAAGAAATAGTATAGAAAAAAATTCTGAACATCACGATATTTATTCCCCTTCCCTGGCTTCCGCCATCATCTGTCGGCGTTTTGCTTTTGCCGTCATCCTTTGCCGTCTTGGGTCACGTGACAGTCCTGTTGGCGGCAAACCAGAATTGTTACTGTTCGTTGGCTTGCCGGCTACAGGTTTGTCAACGTTTTCTTTATTTTGTCCGTTCTCTGCAGTTTCCTGGAGACGTGATTCGACTTTTGTGGGCACTTTCTTCTCAGCTTTCGTACCAACTTTTGGTAAGAGACCATCCATGGACCTTGAGAAAGCCTGCATTGATTTTATTTCTTCTGACGGTTTTTCCTCGTGAACATTTTCTTCGTCCACTTCTTGAATCTCATCAAAGGTCACTGGTTGTGTTTTATACCGCACATCCTGCCGAGATGACCTTGTACGACGATTTCGCCTCTGTGGAGATTGGGGCCCAAGGTCGGGGGTCAAATGTAGGCGGGAAAGTCGCTCTGGAAAATGGGTCTCATAATGGAACAAAGGATCATGTATTCTTGTCCCCATTACCTGAAAGAGTGTTAGAACGTATTGGTTATTATTATAGATCTTTATGAATATTTCATTATACATGTAATATATAAAAATATGAAATCCAGTAAAATAAATGTGAGGAAGGGGTAAATATCCAATCTTTACAGTGGATATTTGACTGGCTAATATGCAAGCATCGGTCCAACATCATAGTTCTGCCTGTGTCACAGCTTATCTTGGACAAGAAAGAAGTATATTATGCTAAATAGCTACGACTTGTTCATGCACTGCGTTTGTCATCAAACGCTTCGGTAACTGGAGGTAAAAAAAAAGGAGCAATATACGACTTGTTTGAACCCTTAAACAAAAAATGATAACCTTGTTTTGGGACAACGTATAAAGACAAACATATGGTATCTTTTGTGATATACAAGTTCTATTTAGTAAGTAATTGTAAATGTATTATAATTATCTTAATCGTATATATTTACATACGACAATCTCTTTGTTCAAACTCCATACAAAGAGAAAACAAGGTCTTGATGGATTTTTTTTTAGATATCAGAATAATTATACAGATTAGTGGTAGGTTGTCCATCTCATGGTTTGTTGAGATTTGTTAATATGAAAAAAATGCGGGACATACAGAGGCAACAAGAGCTTAAATAACATTGAAACTTTCACCTTTATTATTATATATTTCTTTTGATAAACATATTTTAGTGATAGTCAAGGATTGTAATAAAAAAAACTTACCAAGTGAAATAGTATATTTAGCACCTGTTTAAATAGGTGAATGTATCTTGCAATTAAGGTCTTAACTTCAAAGGAGATGTTGCTCATTTTAATTTTCTTTTTTAAAACGTTTAACCTTCCTTGTATTTTTTTCAGGTAAGTAAAAAAAAAATGCACCTGATACCACAAACACTTTCAAAAACGAATATAGCCTGATATGAAAAAAATGCCTTCATACATAGGTGCACGACAAGACCCCAGGAATTAAACTTTTAGGTTTATTATATATATTACTTATAGCAGAGAGGTATGTATTTTATTGACAATATGTCAAAGGGATTGGACATAAATTCCAAAAACTTACCAATGAAATAAAGAGGTATTTAGCATCTGTTTGAAAAAGGTGAATGTACCATAGCTAATGGATAGTCTCTGTAACCTCTTTGCCAATTTTGATACACCTTAAGAGAAAACATACACAAACTTTAACCTTCCTGTATTTTGTTTGGCAACCGTTTGATGTCAACAACAATGCACCTGATACCACCACCCTATACTTTCCAATAAAAAATTTCTCCAAACAAAACTGAAAAACTATCAACAAACGGGGGAAAATGCATTCATGCTTTAGCTACTTTGTTAAAACGTTTACGCTCTTTATCATTCACTTTCCAATCTGTCTTTTTCTTTTCTTTTCTTTTTTACTTTCGTTAATTTTAAACCATAGAATGCTTTCATTTATAATAATATTTGAAATAAATATATATAATTGTTTGTAAATTGAAATTTAGCAACAGTGTCTTTCAACATTCTCAACAAAATACTACCAATAGTATATCTACAATAGATCTTAATTAGACACTAGTATTTCAAAGAGTTTCTTAAAAAAATGAATGTATATTAAATGACAGATCTACAATTTGTATATACATATCTTCTCTGGACATCTACATTAGTCAATCTTACAATTTCATTCTTTTCTTTGCATTATTTCTCGTAAAAATGTATCCCTTGTAAAACTTCAGTGCTTTAGAGCATTTTTAATCACTCAGAATTGAGTTGTGTTTGTTGCAAGACATACACCATTTTAATTAGTATAGGCTTAAGATATTGTTGTTCATTAATATATGGATTTCTAATTCAATAATTAGTAAACAACAATATGATGATTGTTTTCTTTTGCTTTGTACACTTCAATTTAACCCTTCCTTCGCCTCGAATTTGGAGAAAAATGGATGCAACTTTATCCATAGACGTATGGTTGGGTTCATCGATTGTACAATTGTTATATCTTTAAGTTAGCATTGCTATCAAGACATTACAGGTTTATGTGATTGTCGATATGTGCTCGGGTCAGTGCACCCTGTGCTCCTTGTGTGCCAGCATCTGCATGCTGTAGCATGGTACCTCTAGAGAACCAGGATGCTGTAGCATGGTACCTCTAGAGAACCAGGAATCACGCATACAGACCGTTGATCATTTCCATATTTTTTTGCCTCGTAATTGAAGATTCGAGAACATATAGTTTTTAATCCGTCCACCTGTCTGTCTGTCTGTCTGTTTGTGCACAAGAACTAACCTAACCATAAACTTTTGAACGGTGTGTGATAGGGATTCCATATGTGACAGGTGTATTTCTTGTGAGAGGACCTTTCTTTGCAAACCTAATATTTGACTTTGATTTTGGAGATATATATATATTCTTTTGTATATTTTTAACAAACTTAAACCTTGATCATAATTTTCGAAATGTTGCTGATAGGGCTTTTATATTTTACACGTGTATTTCGTGTGCCCAGACTTTCCCAATTGGTAATAATATTTTGACCTATAGACCTCAGCCTTGGCGCGCGCGTTTGAAATGCTAAAACCTTGGCTTTAATGTTTGAACAGTTTGCTAGAGCTTTTCATAAATATCATATGTATATTTCGTTTGAAAAGACATTCCTTTAAGTAACCACATATTTGTACTTCGATCTTGATCTTTGTCATAAATTTCTAAAACATTAACCTTTTGCCTAAAACCTTTGAACGTTGGTGCTAGACTTTTCATGTATTCCTTTTGACAAGACATTCTGCTGTACAATATCTTTGGCCCCATGCATGAACTTGATCTTGGAGTATGACCTACTTTAGGGAAAAAAAAATAACTTTTTGATTGACCAAAGAGTTTGACCACAATTAGAAAAACTTTAGAATTGGCCATGAGCTGTGATTTATGGGTATTGTCTTTCACTAATTAACAATTTTCAATTGCCAATGAGTACACGACTAATTCATTGGCAATTGAAAATTGTTAATTAGTGAAAGACAGTATCATTGTTTCTCAAACACATTTTGTTTCTTTTTTGAATTGATAGTTGACTTTTTTCAACCTGATTCGACTGAAGTTTGAAATTACTAGCCATTTCATAGTAGTTAAAATAACAGCAGAATGTTTCAAACAAATGTTAAATGCTATTAGAATTTAAACACAATCTCTCGTTCAGCCCCGTACCCCAAAACTCAGAGTTTTATACATGTACATTTTTGTCCCCTTCTGAAAGTGAGGGATATTAATTTCAGGCTGTCCGTCCGTCTGTCTGTCTCTAACGCTTTCGTTTCCACGCGATAATAGATAATGAAATCGAAAAATTCATAATCAATCAACGCAGACGAAAAAAATATGTAAATCTAACAAAATATGCAAAGTTAACGTCATCAATTTATGAACAATTAAATACACAATTAATGCTTGCATTTTTGAACGCTGAAATATTTTAGCAGAATACGCAAATTATTCATCGATAAAAACCGAATAATTAGATTTTTGGGCTGATGATTGAAATAAAGCGAGATTTTCATGTTAGTGACGTACAGCCGGATTGATACGTTTATTTATGTTTGGAGTGGATTTACCAAATCCCTTGGCCCCGACATCTAATGTTTACCAACTGGGAGATATATCTTACAGTTGTGAAAATACAGCGAACTTCATTTCAAACGTAGGTCAATGATATATTTTGCCAAACAAAATCAACATGCCTCAGATCTTAACGTTAACACTTCATGATATTGGTTTAAGTGCTGGTTTTAAAGAAACTTCATTGTTAAATTCTGAACCCTCTCTACAAACTCAAGAGTTCTGATTTTGTGTTATTTTTTCATGCAGTAAGAGTACTCTGCCCCTGAATAAAAATTATAAATAATTTTTAGAAATTATAAATAATTTTGCCCCTGATTAGAAATTATAAATAATTTTAACCTGCAGTAATATACATGTTACAGATTTTTGGCGAAGATTGAATGTTCTGAAATGCAAGTCAAACTCCAAGATCAAAGGATGAAAATTGTTGTTTCCCAAAGAAAGGACTCATGGCTATGCTTGTGAAATATGAAAGTCCAAGCATTCATCATTAAACGTTGTGGCCAAGTTGAAATTATTTAAATGTGGATCAAACTCCAAGGTCAAGACCAAAGGGTCAAATAAAAGGTACCAATGGAAAGGTCGCGTCATAAGAAATAAACGTGACATATTTAAAAAAAAAAACCCTAGCACTAGCTTTTCAAAATTTATTATCCATGTTAAAGTTTTTCAAAAGTAGGTTAAATTCCAGGTTACATGTAAAGGCCAAAAAGGTCAATATTGTTGGTATCCAAAGGAAGGCCTTGTCATATGGGATACATCTGAAAGCCCTAGTACTAACTGTTTAAAAGTATGTCCAAGGTTAATTTTTTTTAAAAAGTGGGTCAGACTCAAAGATCCCTGGAAAAGTCTTGTCATAATGAATATATTACATGAAGCATAATGTTGTAGGACCAACTGTTTAAATCAAGTTACGGGCAAGGTTAAATTCAGGTAAATTCTTGTAAAATTGGACCAAATTCCAAGGTAAAGAGTTCAAATATGTTGGAACCCAAAGAAAGGTCTCGTCACATATTTGGATATTTTACTTGCAAAAGACGTTCGTGGTAATCTAACAACCAAGCTCTATGATAAATGTGATGACTTTAACAATCGTCAACTTACTTTACTTATGCAGCAATATACCTTCATCACCTACATACGAGCATGATCTACGTATAAACAACTACTAAAACGAGGTAAATTATTGACAAAAAAGTTGATGAAACAAGAATATCAGCAGTCTCGTTTAAAGTCGTCATATTGTAAGTTCTATGGTCGATAAAATGGCCTTGTCAGCATATACATTTTATTTATCATTGAGTCAAATGCTGACTGACGTTATTCCATTATTTATACATTGAAATGACGACGGATTTTTTTCCGTTATTTCCCGTTCATGACAAGGAGCACACGG